CTGTTACAGGTACAGACCTGATGATATTTGGTGACACTGTTACAGGTACAGACCTGATGATATTTGGTGACTCTGTTACCGGTTCAGACCTGATGAAATTAGGTGACGCTGTTACAGGTAGAGACCTGATAATATTTGGTGACTCTGATACAGGTAGAGACCTGATAATATTTGGTGACACTGTTACAGGTAGAGACCTGATAATATTTGGTGACACTGTTACCGGTACAGACCTGATGATATTAGGTGACGCTGTTACAGGTACAGACCTAGTGATATTTGGTGACACTGACAACTGTTAAGGTATAGACCTTGTGATATTTGTGACACCGTTCAGGTATTCATACATGCTAAGTTTACATATATTATACAAACGTCTACACTGATAGATTGATAAATAGAAACTGCATTAAAGCTTCATTTATACTTGTAATATGTAAACTCGTTCTATTTTTTTCTTATGACAGAATGAAGGATGTTGTGAGGGTTTCCATGGCGACGAGTGTCAGCCTTGTCCAGGTGGATTTGTAAACCCATGTAACGGCAACGGAAAGGTAATTAATAACCCCACAGATAGGATTTAAATTGTATAAAACGTTTTACACAGAAAAGCGAATCTAGTTTTCTTTCAGAAGATGCTTTATAAAGTAAGACAACACGTGGTCGTCCTGACCAGTGATCGGGGTGGGGGTGTCGGGTAACGGGGGTTTAGACATACACGTGGCCTTTTGTAGACATATATTTATCAACATCACATGGTCAAAGTCTGTCTTGGTCTGTTCTAGGCTGATAAGTCGGATGCCATCTTATTTAGTCTTAATTGTCTCTTTAGTCTCTATCTGTTCTACAAAGTTTTACAGTTACGAGATCCTAAAAACACGCTCGCACAAAACCTCACTTTTCGCATATCTCTTATCTTGAAGAAATCTTAAATTACTTAACTATGGATTCCGAGCCATGTCGGAATTCAAGGCAACGAACTTGTTGACAGGGAAGCAAATAATGCGTTAAATCTCCAACAAACAAATATCAAACTACCATATACAGATTTTAAACCTAGTGTTCGTACTGCCATTCATAATGAATGTCTCTCGAGACCGGCGACAAACTTTTTAAAGTACAACCGAAACTTAAAGCATGTGTTCCCAGTCGAAAAGATCTTAGAGAGGAAGTTGTCCTCGATCGGCTCCGTACTAGGAACACATATCCTACTCATTCGTATCTTTTAAAACGTGAAGGTACACCTTCATGCCACGCATGTGACACTTCATTTACAATGGAAAATTTTCTAATAGTATGTTCCGATTTAAGACACATTCGTGACAACTACTTTCGTGTTCCCTTTTCAGTTCGGTAGACTGAAACATCAAAATGAAAAAAAAATAAGATTAACATACTAGATAAAAAAAAAATCGGGAAAATCTGCAGCGTAGCCAATTGGAAAATTTTAGAACAGTGGCTTGCAAAATACATATATCATAGGTTTAAACTTTGTTTCATTCAAATTTTGTTTGACAATACATCGAAGTACATGTTTTATAGAATAGAAAAGGAAACAAAAAACAAGTGCCGTGACGCTTATGTAAATTTTTAAGACACACTCGTGACAACTACTTTCGTGTCCCGAATATGAAAATCCTTTTCAGTTCGGTAGACTGAAACATCAAAATGAAACATACTAGATAAAAAAATAAAAAATATTGTATAGGTCTTTAATGAGTACGTAGCACTACACAATGTTTCTGTCATTGGTTGACCGCTGTTTTTATCGTAATGAACATTATTTGTTACACTGCCGCCTTTTTTGCACACCTCCGTGTACGTGTCTTCACAGAGATACATCGTCCAATTTCAATTAAATTACTGATGTTTGGCGATGGTGAGTTGTCAGATGAAGAAATTGCATTTATTTGCTCTTGTACTCAAAATTTCATTCTCAGCTCTCGAAGATTTGAATGAGTTTTTTCTTCTATTTTAATATATACCTGTCGTTTACAATGGCATTCTTCGTGTACTTAGCTGTTTACAATCATTCAATTTAGGGTTAATCTGAGCAATTCTCTTTCCTATGCTACCCTCCCCTACTATTTTCCGCTTTTTACTCGTATACTCAAAGCATTGCTGCATATTTCTTTATCAAATATTATAGTCATAAAACCTGTGGTCCAAAAATCTCATATGTATTTCTTCCACTGGAGATGGATCTACATAAGTTGTAAAACAAATTCAATTTTAACATTTGTGCATTGCTTTACATCATACTGTTTATGAAAAAAAATGAAATTAACTTTATATCAGTGAGATATGTTATGGCATATTATAATAGTTGTAGACTCTGATAGCAAATCTGCGTTACCAACATAACATATTTACCTATGTTTAGGTCTATGCTTTTTATTTTTTTATTTTTTTAAATATTGATAAAGTCGTCTGAGTAGTGGTGTTTGCGATCGATTATTTTGAAACGATTTATTTTGATACAGTGTACAGAGTCGGGCACATGCGCGTGCTACAGTGGATTCACAGGCAATGCATGCGAGCAGTGTGAAATAGAAGACAGATTTGGAGAAAACTGTACGCAACGTAAGTAAATAATCCGAACCAACCTAAATAGCATGTATCATGAAAACATAGATACGTGTGTAGCAATGATAATTAAAATGTAGATAAAACGTATTTTCTCTATAAATAAAATGCTTTGTTATATAATACTTGTTTTCATGAAACAAACATTGGAATGTACAATTGTAACATTAGTAGTAATAACCACCTCCTTTAAAGTGGATAAAGATACGGCGCATATGATGAGTACTTTCGTAACTGTTTGTGCCTCTGGCTTTGTTCGTAAAATGCCAGGACTATGTGTAAAAGTACTGTTTTGTTTACTAGATCTCATGGTCTTTGTGTGTTTTTTAGGTTTTTGAAAACATGTCTTTTCATGGTATATAATATAATTTCACTTTTCGTATTGATGATAATTAGTTTTACGCTTGGTATTCGAATACGTTGATTATGTTTATATGATGCTACGACAGGAACGTTGATTCTGAAACCTAGGGACATACTATCTATCCGCTGATTTAGGATAACAGGACGTCGCGGTACTATTTGATGATTTGGTTTGAAGCCGAGGTAAATTTGATTTTTATTTTACTTTTTAGCGTGTACTTGCCTCAGGGGTCACTGTGATAATGGAATCAAAGGTACCGGCATATGCAAGAGAGGAACGTGTTCTTCGGGCGCAAGGGGAAAAAACTGCGACAAAATTCTGAGGAAATGTTCCAGGGGAATTGTCCGAAGAAAATTATGTCATGTACACGCCTATTGTTTTACGGGGTCGATGACTAACAACTCGGATGAAATCGGGTACGGAACTAGCACTGTGTATCGGCATAAACATCTGTGTAGAAGGTTATTCTATTTATGTTGTAATCAACTGTATCAGTTTTGTAGTGGATCTTCTATCTGTGTGGGTCTGGTTTTTGGTATATTCCGTGGTTGTTCTAAGTACCTTATCTGTGTAGAGGCCGTATCTGTGTCATAGTATACCGCGTTAGAGTGGTAGTATATCTTATTATAAAGTTTTCGTATTTTATAAAAGATTTGATGCCCCTCTGTTTACAGATGTACCTGTATGGGTGGCTTTGAGGGAGATGGTCACACAACATGCTCTCCTATTAACCCCTGTAAGCAGCCCTCGAGGGGAGGGTGTGACCCTCAGGTAATATATCAAGCAGGCCTCGAGGAGGGATACTGTGACCCTCATGAAATTTGCCACGCTGTGTCTAGTGCTTGCCTTGAAATTGTAATACATACATCGTTATTGTGTTGGGCAATATGTGTATACCAAGATTGTTGTACACCCGCCATGTTCTGCCTATGACTTCATGTTACATGACGTATTGTGGCGTAATCAAATAATCATGGAATTACGTCATTTTAAATTATGACATCACAAGTGAGAACAAGATACATGTAAAGAAAAACAGATGAAATATGTATAGACTAAAAGCATGGCAAGGAAACATCGTGTTTTCCCAGTATTCGATTAAAAATTTTGATCCACGGATGATAAAGGATCTTTTAACAAGTTTCCACGTCTGAAACAAGCATAGGAATTTTCATTCCAGCAAGACATGTATCATGCTCAAAAAGCAAAATCAAAACTCGTAAATTTCATACGAAATTGCATGTTATTGTAGATCCTTGTGTGCCGATGCGGTTGGATATCGAGCTGCTTTCAGTTGGATTAATAGTCAATCATAAAGCCAACAGAAACATGACAAATTCAGAGAATTTGTAACAAACCGGTTAACATTTATTTTGACAGAGAATGCCAATGAAAAGCTATTTAACGGTTATATTTACCTTTTTACATACTTCGATGTCAAAGAAAAAATTATTTAACGTATCAAAATTTAATGTTTAGTTCAAATTAATATACTGTATGCGTTGTGTATGCTTATTTAATGAAATGCATAACCATGTTAACGGGAGGATCAGTTGTAACCAACGTTTCAATTATAACATCTTAATGATAATTTCATCTACAGGTGGTGCATTGTTTATAGTAGGATAAAATTGTTGTGTTACAGATGGGTAAATGTTATAGTGAATATAGATGTCAACTTGAACATGACAAATCCTGGAACCGCACCAGTGCCATTTGGCAGTGATATTGATTACCAATGTCAATGCTCATAATGATGACGTCAACAAATGGTAGAAATGCCATCTGACCTTGATAGTGTTTTAATATGACATTGCCAGAGTTATAGATATATGTGTTTGTGTATGACCATAATTATGTGTGTGTACCTACACTTATGTTTGTGTACAGCTTGAAAATTGAAACCAATAGTTACATTTAAATAATGAAGTGGAATTGGATTTTGCTTTGATCATTGACCAATATCGCCATTGATCATTTCATGAATCCGTGCTTATATATGTATATTTTGGTGTCATACAGGCCACTTGTAAGTACCTCCTGCCTGGATTAAGTAACTGTCGGTGTGACGAGGGCTGGGTTGGGACGGGCAAGTATTGCCACCGCGGCACGGAGTGTGACACCCACCGGGACTGTCATGAGCACGCAGTGTGTCGCTTGAAGGTGCCAGATATGAAGGTAAACTCACCATAGAAGTAAGAAAATATTACTGCATAATATTGTTTTTTAAAGGGGATCTTTGAAAACATACGGGCAGTAAATAGGGTTTACTTTGAGGAAGCTACATGCTATCACTTCGTCGACACAAATGGGAAGAAATGTCACAACTTCAATAAACTAATGACAAAATATCACAGCGTAAACAAAAACGGATAAATCATCAATGTTTTGACATAAGTACAACGCATCATAGACAAAGCGTCACAATGTCAACGCACAAGGACCATATATGCTATTGGGGCACAAACAGGTGATTGTACCTTTGAAATTGGATACAGTACAGTATGCCGTGATGCTGGGGACTAACCAATTTAAAAGAAGAGGAAAAACATTAATTTTAAGAATTTAAAGAATTTAGGAAGTACCAGTTATTTTTCAAAATAAGTACATGGTGAATCGTGTATAAAATGAACCTTGCGACATAATGTACTTCTCGTAAAGGATTAATATGGCTTTCAAGTTGACTCCTTACAAAAGAAAACAGATTTAGCAGACAATGGCAAATGTATCAGCGTCACACACAACATCAAAGTGGCACCACACTAGACAAAATATATAAACATGAATAGATATTGCCACTCAAGAACAGAATAGGAACTCAAAATCAGCCCCAATCCTCCTTAAAAACAAGTTAAATTAATAAGTAAAAAAACGGTGGGATGTAAATAAACAAACACAGCGTGAACAATCACGGTAGACACTTGAATCAATATCTTGGTCTGTACGGCTGCATTTATTGTGGTCGACCGGAATGAAAGGCAATGATGATTGTCGAAGGTAAGCTATCAGATACAGAAACCATACTTCATTATTGGGAATCAAATCTCAACATGCTGTAACATGATGCATACTGTTATTCTCTAATGTTTTCAACTGTAATACTGATGTGGTAAATGGCTTCTTACGATTCTACCCTCAGACTTTATGTAGCTGTAAAATGAACTTTCATGGAAATGGAACCCATTGCGTACCTGACAATATGTGCCGATGGAACATGGGCGGCTGTGACCCAAAGGTATGTTAGCATCTATGCTATTTACAAGTTTAAATGTACAAATACAAATGTAATAAACCTTTAATTCGAAAAGTAGCATTAAGGAACATATTAAACGGCTACATTGTACAAATGAAAATATGTGTATTTTCATAAAGAATTTTTTTTCTTCTAAATTTCATTGATTTTAAATTCAATCACGCACAAGTATGCTGCTCATTTAAGAAAATAAAAATTCCCATCAGGCATGCTCCATGTATATGTTATATTAAATTATCTGACAGGTACCTGTATGCTGTTTTTAAGGTTAATTTATTAAGGACATTGTGATTTATTTCATCATTTTCTTGCTTAAAAATATGCTTTAAATTAAACAAGTATATATATGTATCACACTTCTCCTCGTTTTCATTTTAACCAACAAGCCATGTCAAAGATGATATGCTCACCCCTGATTGTTGAGTAATTTATGATGTTTTGCCAGTTTAATGTTAAGTGCTCATGTACTCGTTTAGGTAGGCACGCGGGTATCTTTGTTCGACATTTCGTCTTAGATCATTTTAAATGCCCGAGAGACTTTTGGAGTTGCGATGCACGCGCATAGTTCGTTAGAAAATAATAACTTGATAGTAACCAATGGAATGGAATTACGTTATTAAGCGTATAAACCTATAAACACAGGTAATAATAAATGGTGGTCACATGTGTTAACAGGCTGACTGTTCCCCGACTGGACCTGGTACAAACAACTGTACATGTTGGGATGGCTACATAGGCGACGGATATGGCTGCTCTCCTACCATTCTAAAATTCATCGAGGAAACACCAGAGCTGAGTAAACTAGCCGAGCTAATACAGGTAATACTATATCTATATACTTTATAGTTGATACACGTCATAACAAATACTTATAGATGGCTATACTATAAACTATATAGCATATGCATGGTATACCAGGTAAATATAAATAGCTATACTATGTACATGTACTATTAAGTAAATACACGACATAATAGGTAATTATATATAGTTATACTATACAGTATGTAACAGACCCATATCACACAGATTCCCATGTAGAAGTTTATACAACTGCAAATACCACAATCTATATCACATACATGTATATTATTATTTTTATACATGTGTAGCTCAGCTGTACTGGGTAGATCGCCGGCGACTAGGTAGCTATAGCTTGATTGGTTACAATGTCCGTCTAGATGTAGAGGTTCTCGGTTTAATACTTCATCTCCCGTTACAACAGATAACATGTAGCAGTAGATGCTAGATCAACGTCACACAGATTCCTTTCTATAGGAATAAACGTTACAGTAGATATACAGCCCTTATTTCACGGTTTGTTTGAAAAGGGACACTTACATCCGGTATACGTATTTCTAAGGTGTTATATGTGAGATATTATCTTGAAGTATTCGCTTTAACTATGCACATCTCATCTTCATACAAACACTAAATAAACGATTCTGTGATCATATTACGTACATTATAACATTTGTATTCCACTCAGATGATAAATTAACATAATAATATACATAACAATACTATCGTTCTTTGAGGATAAATAGAGCGTTTTATAAGGGCCCCGTATCGGAGATACGGGTGCCCTATATTAATCACTCTGTCTGTCTGTCTGTGTCTGTCCACAAAATTTGTTCCTGGCTGATAACTTTGATATTTATTGACCGATGTACATGAAACTTGGACAAGATGTTCAGTTCATAAAAATACACATTGAGGAAAAAAGTCAAGGTCAAAGGTCAAGGTCAGAAGGTTCAAATTTCAAGGTCAATATTTACATCTTTTTACTGATAAACATTTTGTTATGACGATATGAAGCAAAGTTGATCAGAATTAAACAAGGAGTCAACTGCCCAAAGGTCAAGGTCATCGGGTCAGGGTCAAGGTCAAATTTTGTAGCTTTTCACTGGTGAACATTTCGCTATGACATTATGAAGCAAAGTTGTTCGGAATTAAACAAAGAGACACACTGAGATAAAAACTTGAGGTCAAAGGTCAAGGTCATTAGATTCAAAGGTCAAGGTCATTAGATTCAAAGGTCAAGGTCAAATTTTGCATCTTTCCCCTGATGAACATTTTGTTATGACATGATGAATCAAAGTTGATCAGAACTAAACAAGGAGTCAACTGACCAAAGGTCAAGGTCATTGGATCAAATGTTAAGGTTAAATTTTGTATCTTTTCACTGGTGAACATTTCACTATGACACTTTGAAGCAATATTGCTCAGAATTAAACAAGGAGTCAATTGACCAAAGGTCAAGGTCACTGGGTCAAAGGTGAAGGTTACATTTTGTACCTTTTCCCTGATGAACATTTTGTTATGACATTATGAAGCAATGTTGTTCAGAACTTAACACAGAGTCAACTGACCTTAGGTCCAGGCTTCGGGGTCCAAAGGGTCAAGTTCAAGTTTTGTTTTTTTCACTGAAGAACATTTTGTTATGATATTAAGAAGCAAAATTGGTCAAAATTAAAGAATAAGTCAACTGACCAAAGATCAAGGTCACTGGGTTAATGGTCAAGGTCATTTGGGTCCAAAGGTCAAAGCCAAAGTGGATCTCTGACTTTGACCCTGGCTCTTTATGGAGGAGGTATATGTAAGGTAAAATAAAACAAATCAAAGCTAACAAATGAGTATTGCACCGGTATTTACATTTTTGTTAGCCCAGCAAATGTGGAGGTGGAAGGAAACAAGACTCGCATCATAGTACATGTAAAATGTATATTTTGCTTCCTTGCGATTCTTTTTGAAGTCCAAATGTCAAACGTCAAGCTCAGCTATATGGGCAGATTGCTTCTTGATGATTTTGGAGGATATATTGCCACAAGACGGGGCCCTTACTGACCTGCCAGTGTTCTAGTTATATATGTGAATGGGGTAGAGAAATTTACTACACAGATGTGTAGAAATAGTGTCAGAACAAAGATTGTTCCGAAGTTCTGTGCCCAAATTCTGTACCCGAGTGTTATATTTCCTAATTCCCATATCTACATAATAATAAGCTCTTTTTCACCCACCTTTCACTCGGAATCACGGAAAATCTAAGGACCCGGCGGCAGAGATGAACGATATATTTGAGCCTGTGTTGACGAGAAGGGAACCTTGTCATTGCATCAGAGTGTTGTTGGTTGACAGTTAGACTGATGTCGGTGAGCTAGAGCAATTCTAAGATGGGTTGTTCATCTATTAACAATGACATGTCAACTAGTAAATAGAAAGATAGCAAAACATGATAATATTGAGACTGATGCTAGTCTTCCTGACAGCGAGCTTGTCTTTATTTGAAGTTTCATTGTATATGCATATGTTTGTTTTCTGACGACAGGGCATGCCGAGAGATGACAACATCCTGCTATCTTTCACAGACCAGTACACACTGTTCGCTCCATCCAACGAGGCCATGACCATCCTGCTGTCACGAATATCGTCCGGTTACTGGGAAAACCCTGAACATGTGTTAGCTTTCCTCTTGTACGTTAACAGTGCTTCTCTAGTTTTTGAAATTCGTATTATTCAGGGGTTTTATGCTCTTTCATTTCTGTTTTAAAATTAACTAAGACGAATTAGGATCACCCAACATTTCCCACCCTAGCATGACTGATGAGTCCTAGAAGGACATAACAGCTGTGTGGTGCAGTATTATTTTATTATGGCATACTGTCTTTTATCACATAATGTACTGGGTTATCCAGTGAATATACCCATGTCAAATTTGTTTGCGTATTAACCCATGTAATATGACCTATCAGCCCTGTGATTGGTTGTAAGTTTCAATTGTTTCAATTGTGACGTCACGCCTAGGACAAGTAGATGACGTCATAAACGTACGCACTAGAGTCAAAATGGCGGCTTTTTACATTTCAAGGTTGCATGAAAAGTGTCGTTTTACACGAATGAATGTCACAAATCTTGAGTATATGATAAAAGGGATGGATCGATCTTACACTCTTTTTCATTTCATGTGAAATTTATGAAACTCGTCAAGACTTTTTCATTTTTGCTCGCCAGTAACTCGCTGAATTGAAAAATTCTTAGACTCATTTCATAAATCTCATATGAAATGGAAACTCATGTAAGATCATATATGTATCCAGTATTATAGGTGCAACCACATGAGCAAACTTATTAATCATTGAAGTTACTATATATTGCTGAATTGATACAGGTTTTTTTCACTTATCTTTCATTGATTTTTTTTATGAAATGCTGGCAAAAGATTTAACCAAAACTGAAAACAGGACATTTAAATAAAGGGATTATGAAAGAAAGACGGTACAAATATGTTATTTGGAACCATTGCCATTTTTTTTATTTGAATAAATGAGATTTTACTCGAATAGGTTAGATGAATACGGTAAAGATTATATATTATTTGCATTACATTTTTGTTATTAAACATGGCATATTCATACGGTTTGCAGTAATGTTATACCTCAGACAGTATTAAAATTATAATCACAGTTATGCTAAAATAATATTTAAATAATACGGATAAGTTTCCCTTACGTTTATGTTGTGTAAAGAAACAAAAAAGCTATCACTTTAGGCTGTTTCAAGCTATAACACTTTGAAAGCTTCTACCGTTTGTTTCCGGGTTCACAGGTCAACTGACATTAACACGACTCAAAATGTAAATTTTCCGACAAAGCTATAATGAAATTTTATTTCAAATAAAACTTTGTAAGTCGGAACACCCGGTTGGTCAAATTTAGTACATGTATCATTTAATGTTTCATAATCGTTACCACTTGATCGACTGAAGTAGTTAAGGAAGTGAATGAGGTATATTTATTTCCATAATATGCTGCCTTAGACAAACAATCATTGAATACCATGTTTATTGAAATCAGAAAGAGTTATCTTTGGGAACAAACCTTAAACTTCTAGTACATATCTTTGAACTTACTTCGTTGGTATCGACGTTCACATTCAGCCTGATAACTTAACTGATATATTGTTCTTGTGTGTGCTTTTATACTATGTGTTTAATTGATGGAGACTCACACGCTTTTCTTGAATTTGAGGTGTAAAATCAAGCTATTCACTATATTTGGTAGTGGAAACGCTTACCCTCTCAAACACCAGGTGTGGCGGCCTTGTTTGTATGTTTGGTCCATGTCTCTTCCCTTTCGTTTCAATGTCTTCTCTGTTCTCAGTCTTTATCGACTTGGAGTGCACAGTTTATCGACATGTCATGACAATGTGTGTGTTTTTGATTTAATCTCGATATGTCCGTATCTGGTTTGTTAAAGGTCACACATGCTGGTTGGGGTGAAAAATACACAGGAACTTCTGGAAACAGTGGAGGGATATGACAAGGTCGAAACACTTTTTGACGGTTTTTACTTACACATCTACAATGTTAACGATGTAAGTGATACTGTAAAAATGACACTTAAAACCGTATTATGGTTAGGGAACATGTCGTATTGAAGAGAACAAATGCTGTCATACCTTTTTGTTGTATTATTCTCGCTTTGATTCATATCTATCTTTACTAAAAAATGGACTCACCAATGTTAGTAAACATATCTTATTACATGCATTCAATTTACCACTCCTTGCTCAAGCATTTTTTAAACCGTCATTAAAATGTACGATTATATACAAAATGTTTTTTACTCCTGAAACTTTGATATTTTTGCTTCAGAATATAATTTTTTACTAAGAAAATAGAATAATAGGATAACAGTTTTTGAGAACTCTTTGCTGAACAGGTACAGTATCAAGAGGAGCCTAGTTCTATATCATGGCCAAACGAAACCTTCGCGTCAAGATTCCAATGAAAATTGTTTGATATCAATGGTAAAAAAATGACAGCTTATTCTGAAATAATATTTTGTCCAGTTAAATATAACTGAGCACAATAACACCTATCTTAACATTTCTGCGCTACAATTAACCTATTTTTTAAAAAAAAAAACTATATTGCATGAAGATGCATGACACCGTGATGGGTGTAGGCTAAACAATCGACATTGGGTTGAAATCTGACTGTCCTATGTGCTCTTATCTACTTAGGTGGTCGTTTCAGTTGCCGTATTAATACCATCATATACCATGTGACCCCATCCTGAATGCAGTTCACGTGTTAAATGATACGAAGACGTTGAATAATATTACGGAAGCAAACAAAATGTACTCTAGTGCGTCAAGCTCGAGTAATCTGCTACCATCGTAAAAGTTCGCTATCATTAATTTCAGAACCATTCATATAGAAGAATTATATATCATGAAAACAAAATATGTCTCGTTCTTGATAGTTTTTCTCAAGTGAAATTGAACTTTGTAGTTTGACCCGCACCGATTACTAAATTAAGATTTGCACGCCATAATTTGCATAAACAAACATCAAATAAAAACATTGACTGTATTTTGCAATTCATATTCTCGTGAACAGCACATGAAGACATCAGTGATGCACTGAATCAATAGAAACTGTAGCTTTTGCTTTCCAATTTTCGCCAAGAACAGTTCCAATTTGGTTTAGTATTGTTTAACGTCCAATCAGTAGCTATGGTCATTTAAGGACGTGTGTTTTGGGAGGCTGCGATACATTTGTCTACAAAAACTTTGTTGGGATTACAAACAAATGGTCATCAAGCTCATTATCATATATATAGCTGTCACTCTACTTCGATGAAATGACTGTATGAGGGGCGTCCGTTGCCGTCACCCTAACCCTGCTCAATGCTAAGAAAACCACTATGTAGGTTTTAAAGTAGTTAAATTGTCATCATTACTGATTTAGATACACTGGTAGCTTCTTTGATTTGCATTCACATGTACATTGCTTTAATTGCGCAGATTTCTACAGCATATAGTGTTGGAGACTATACTGTTTACGTTTAAATACCCCTATTTAAATCCGGGACATCTCATACTAAAAGGTTTCTCGCATCCTTTCGTCGAAAGAGCAATAGCATAATAAAGTTCATCTCGCTCATAAATACACAAGTCATCAATGGCGGTATCGGAACGACTGCATAGGACATTGTTCCCCGAGTAGTTAAAATATCGCTTAGAGTACTACCCGTTCCCGATGACAAAATTGCCAATAAAGATATTTTGACTCTGCAATTCAAATACCAGAAAACTGCAATAAACGTTTACGATATATAAAGCCGGGTCCCCCTAAAAACCGATTTTGTCGTCATCACAATTCCAATGGGATATTTAATATTTCTTTGTGTTATATAAAGATCAATGCTTTTAATAACGCTCCCTAATGTGGACGTGTTATAACTTGAATTCGACCTAGATATAAATGGCGGGTGTCGTAGATGAAGCAGAAGAATCCTACCCTTCCAGAACGCCGGATCACCTTCTCCTTCTTTTAATAGTCGCCATGTAAATCTTGTCTTTGTTTTTATTGTGCTGGTTTTGTTTTCACCGCTGTGGTATTGTCATGTTGACACGTTTACCCATAATTTATAAGATCATCCGTATCATTGAAAGAGACAACAAAATGCATGCATCTTTTTTATTTATATTCCCTCTCATAATAACGAGCAAAATGCCGTAACAAAGGATTGGCAAATTTATAAATAAGCTGAAAACCGGTTAGTATCCAATGATGACAGATGCCCGTCACCCGTACGAAGGGAGTTAACTCAAATCGAGAATGAGCGATTTTGATATTTTCGGCTCTATCAGTGTAAAATGGTCCATATTTGACTTCCAACCCTGCCAATGGGTTTTATGACATAAGACACCAGAACTACCATTTCGATGGCTTTGTAAAAATATTTCGTTAAGTATAGTATCTATTTGAGTTTTTATCAATTGAAATATTGGTAAATATCTTACTCTAAAATTTTAATGGTTTTAATTGGTTTGACCTTCCAAATTAAGGTCCTACATTTATTTCCTCAACGCATCATTATGATATGATCTCTTACATGAATCGATCATTTATTCATTTATCTTTTTTTTAATAAAATTTTCTTTTTTAAGTTTAGTGCACAATCGAATTGACTTTGACCCTCTACAGTATCGTCAGGCTGAGATCTGATTTTTCCTATCAGTTGAATTGTGAAAAGATTGTTTCAATTATTCTGTCATTCTCGAGGGTTGGGGATTGAGACAAAATATGCCTGCTGTGACCCACTACATAGTGTAAGAGACAACTAGTGTGGTAACGTCCTGTCAGCTCAGGGACTTCCTTCTGTGTCCTGTTAATAATTTTTCAAATCTTTTATACTTCCACAATTTATTAGAGTGTTTTTTTTCAACATATGACACAGTGAAACATAAAATGATTTATCTAAATAACCAAAACAGTAATCAATATAACGTTCACAAGTAGCACGTACAATATTTCTATTTAGGTAGTGATAAAACATTATCACTTTGGTGGTCGTTTGGTGCAGATATTGCACTTGCCTTTCACCAAGGCGGCCGGGGTTCGATTCCCCGATTGGACGTGAAAAGGTATGGGGGTCACCTGTCCGAACACGTGGGTTTTCTACGGGTACTCTGGCGGGTTCCTCCCACACCCGCCAGAGTACCCGTACCTCCCACGCGTGCTAACATCCGAGCCAACAAGAGTGATACAATTAAGTTGATATAACTGTTTTCATAATTGTTGTAAAATAATGATGGTATCAAAGTATGCCTTACTGTAAATATCCCCAGAGGCCTCACGGAAATTTGAAATTATAATTCATTATCGTCATTAACCATTAGGTCATGTCAGTTTTTAAGTTTGTTTTAGCGGAAAATATCTTTTAGCCAAATAAGGTAAAAAAAAATGTATTAACCTCAGGCTGAAATTAACCATACATGTACGTAATGATTATTTTTGTTCCAGACCCTTTTCATCTCTGGGAATAGAACATCTAAAATGATGTCCCAAATATTGGAATCCCATGAAACGGCGAATGGCTACGTGCACATAGTTGATAGGGTAAGCTGTTCTGTATCACAGACATTATAGATAGTGTTCTGGAGGGTAAGCTGGTCTGTATCACAGATATTATAGATAGTGTTCTGTAGGGTAAGCTGTTCTGTATCACAGACATTATAGATAGTGTTATGTAGGGTAAACTGGTCTGTATCACAGACATTATAGATAGTGTTCTGTAATGTAAGCTGGTCTGTAACACAGACATTATAGATAATGTTCTGTAATGTAAGCTGGTCTGTATCACAGATATTATAGATAATGTTCTGTAGGGTAAACTGTTCTGTATCACAGACATTATAGATAATGTGCTGTAGGGTAAGCTGTTCTGTATCACAGACATTATAGATAGGGTTCTGTAGGGTAAGCTGTTCTGTATCACAGACCTTATAGACATTGTGCTGTAGGGTAAGTTGGTCTGTATCACAGGCATTATAGTGTTAGCTAATCCTGTATCACAGACAGTATAGACAATGTTCTGTATTGTAAGCTGTTCTGTATCTCAGACATTATAGACAATGTTCTGTAGGGTAAGCTGTTCTGTATCACAGACATTATGGATTGTGTTCTGTAGAGTAAGCTGTTCTGTATCACAGACATTATATATAGTGTTCTGTAGGGTAAGCTGTTCTGTATCACAGACATTATAGCTAGTGTGCTGTAGGGTAAGCTGTTCTGTATCACAGACAGTATAGATAGTGTGCTGTAGGGTAAGCTGTTCTATATCACAGACATTATAGACAATGTTCTGAAGGGTAAGCTGTTCTGTATCACAGACATTATAGCTAGTGTGCTGTAGGGTAAGCTGTTCTGTATCTCAGACATTATAGACAGTGTGGTGTAGGGTAAGCTGTTCGGTATCACAGACATTATAGATAGTGTTCTGTAGGGTAAGCTTTTCTGTATCACAGACATTATGGATAGTGTTCTGTAGAGTAAGATGTTCTGTATCACAGACATTATAGATAGTGTTCTGTAGGGTAAGCTGTTCTGTATCACAGACATTATGGATAGTGTTCTGTAGAGTAAGCTGTTCTGTATCACAGACATTATAGATAGTGTTCTGTAGGGGAAGCTGTTCTGTATCACAGACATTATAAGACATTATAGATAGTGTTCTGTAGGGGAAGCTGTTCTGTATCACAGACATTATAAGACATTATAGATAGTGTTCTGTAGGGGAAGCTGTTCTGTATCACAGACATTATATATAGTGTTCTGTAGGGTAAGCTGTTCTGTATCACAGAAATTATGGATAGTGTTCTGTAGGGTAAGCTGTTCTGTATCACAAACATTATGGATAGTGTTCTGTAGGGTAAGCTGTTCTGTATCACAGACATTATAGACAGTGTGATGTAGAGTAAGTTGGTCTGTACCACAGATATTATAGATAGTGTCCTGTAGGGTAAGCTGTTCTGTATCACCGACATTATAGACAGTGTGCTGTAGGGTAAGTTGGTCTGTATCACAGACATTATAGTGTTAGCTCATTATAGATAGTGTGCTGTAGGGTAAGCTGTTCTGTATCACAGACATTATAGATAGCTTTCTGTAGGGTAAGCTGTTCTGTATCACAGACATTATAGACAGTGTGCTGTAGGGTAAGTTGGTCTGTATCACAGACATTATAGTTTTATCTAATCCTGTATCACAGACATTATAGATAATGTTCTGTAGGGTAAGCTGTTTTATATCACAGACATTATAGACAGTGTGCTGTAGGATAAGTTGGTCTGTATCACAGACATTATAGTGTTAGCTTATCCTTTATCACAGACAGTATAGATAATGTTCTGTAGGGTAAGCTGTTCTGTATCACACTGTAGGGTAAACTGTTCTGTATCACAGACATTATAGATAGTGTGCTGTAGGATAAGCTGTTCTGTATCACAGACATTATAGATAGTATTCTGTAGGGTAAGCTGTTCTGGATCACAGACATTATAGATAGTGTTCTGTAGGGTAAGCTGTTCTATATCACAGACATTATAGACAATGTTCTGTAGGGTAAGCTGTTCTGTATCACACTGTAGGGTAAACTGTTCTGTATCACAGACATTATAGATAGTGTGCTGTAGGGGAAGCTGTTCTGTATCACAGACATTATAGATAGTATTCTGTAGGGTAAGCTGTTCTGTATCACAGACATTATAGATAATGTTCTGTAATGTAAGCTGTTCTGTATCACAGATATTATAGACAGTGTGCTGTAGGGTAAGCTGTTCTGTATCACAGACATTATGGATAGTGTTCTGTAGGGTAAGCTGTTCTTTATCACAGACATTATAGATAGTGTGCTGTAGGGGAAGCTGTTCTGTATCACAGACATTATAGATAGTATTCTGTAGGGTAAGCTGTTCTGTATCACAGACATTATGGATAGTGTTCTGTAGGGTAAGCTGTTCTTTATCACAGACATTATAGATAGTGTGCTGTAGGGTAAGCTGTTCTGTATCAAGACATTATAGATAGTGTTCTGTAGGGTAAGCTGTTTTGTATCACAGACATTATAGATAGTGTGCTGTAGGGTAAGCTGTTCTATATCACAGACATTATAGACAATGTTCTGTAGGGTAAGCTGTTCTGTATCACAGACATTATAGAAAGTGTTCTGTAGGGTAAGCTGTTCTGTATCACAGACATTATAGTGTGCTGTAGGGTAAGCTGTTCTGTATCACAGACATTATAGATAGTGTTCTGTAGGGTAAGCTGTTTTGTATCACAGACATTATAGATAGTGTGCGGTAGGGTAAGCTGTTCTGTATCACAGACATTATAGACAATGTTCTGTATGGGAAGCTGTTCTGTATCACAGACATTATAGATAATGATCTGTAATGAAAGCTGTTCTGTATCACAGATATTATAGACAGTGTGCTGTAGGGTAAGCTGTTCTGTATCACAGACATTATAGATAGTGTTCTGTAATGTAAGCTGTTCTGTATCACAGACAATATAGATAGTGTTCTGTAGGGTAAGCTGTTCTGTATCACAGACATTATGGATAGTGTTCTGTAGAGTAAGCTGTTCTGTATCACAGACATTATAGTCAGTGTGGTGTAGGGTAAGCTGTTCTGTATCACAGACATTATAGTCAGTGTGGTGTAGGGTAAGCTGTTCTGTATCACAGACCTTATAGATAGTGTTCTGTAAGGTAAGCTGTTCTGTATCACAGACATTCTAGACAGTGTGCTGTAGGGTAAGTTGGTCTGTATCACAGATATTATAGATAGTGTCCTGTAGGGTAAGCTGTTCTGTATCACAGACATTATAGAAAGTGTTCTGTAGAGTAAGCTGTTTTGTATCACAGACATTATAGACAGTGTGCTGTAGGGTAAGTTGGTCTGTATCACAGACATTATAGTTTTAGCCAATCCTGTATCACAGACATTATAGATAATGTTCTATAGGGTAAGCTGTTCTGTATCACAGACATTATAGACAGTGTGCTGTAGGGTAAGTTGGTCTGTATCACAGACATTATAGTGTTAGCTAATCCTGTATCACAGACAGTATAGATAGTGTGCTGTAGGGTAAGCTGTTCGGTATCACAAACATTATAGATAGTGTGCTGTAGGATAAGCTGTTCTGTATCACAGGCATTATAGATAGTGTTCTGTAGTGTAACCTGTCCTGTATCACAGACATTATAGATAATGTTCTATAGGGTAAGCTGTTCTGTATCACAAACATTATAGATAGTGTGCTGTAGGGTAAGCTGTTCTGTATAACAGACAGTATAGATAGTGTGCTGTAGGGAAAGCTGTTCGGTATCACAAACATTATAGATAGTGTGCTGTAGGATCAGCTGTTCTGTATCACAGACATTATAGACAGTGTGGTGTAGGGTAAGCTGTTCTGTATCACATACATTATAGATAGTGTGCTGTAGGGTAAGCTGTTCTGTATCACAGACAGTATAGATAATGTTCTGTAGGGTGCGCTGTTCTGTATCACAGACATTATAGATAGTGTGCTGTAGGATAAGCTGTTATGTATCACAGACATTATAGTGTTAGATAATCCTGTATCACAGACATTATAGTGTTAGATAATCCTGTATCACAGACATTATAGATAGTGTTCTGTAGGGTAAGCTGTTCTCTATCACAGACATCACAGACAGTGTTCTGTAGGGTAAGTTGGTCTGTATCACAGACATTATAGTTTTAGCTAATCCTGTATCACAGAGATTATAGATAATGTTCTGTAGGGTAAGCTGTTTTGTATCACAGACATTACAGACAGTGTGCTGTAGGGGAAGTTGGTCTGTATCACAGACATTATAGTTTTAGCTAATCCTGTATCACAGAGATTATAGATAATGTTCTGTAGGGTAAGCTGTTTTGTATCACAGACATTATAGATAGTGTTCTGTAGGGTAAGCTGTTCTCTATCACAGACATTATAGATAGTGTGTTGTAGGGTAAGCTGTTCTGTATCACAGACATTATAGATAGTGTGCTGTAGGATAAGCTGTTCTGTATCACAGACATTATAGATAGTGTTCTTTAGTGTAAACTGTTCTGTATCACCGACATTATAGACAGTGTGCTGTAGGGTAAGTTGGTCTGTATCACATACATTATAGATAGTGTGCTGTAGGGTAAGTTGATCTATATCACAGACATTATAGTTTTAGCTAATCCTGTATCATAGACATTATAGATAATGTTCTGTAGGGAAAGCTGTTTTGAATCACAGACATTATAGACAGTGTGATGTAGGGTAAGTTGGTCTGTATCACATACATTATAGATAGTGTGCTGTAGGGTAAGCTGTTCTGTATCACAGACATTATAGATAGTGTTCTGTAGGGAAAGCTGTTCTCTATCACAGACATTTTAGATAGTGTGCTGTAGGGTAAGTTGGTCTGTATCACAGACATAATAGTGTTAGCTAATCCTGTATCACAGACGGTATAGATAACGTTCTGTAGGGTAAGCTGTTCTGTATCACAGACATTATAAATAGTGTTCTGTAGGGTAAGCTGTTCTGTATCACAGACATTATAAATAGTGTTCTGTTGGGTAAGCTGTTCTGTATCACAGACATTATAGATTATAGACAGTGTGATGTAGGGTAAGTTGGTCTGTATCACAGATATTATAGATAGTGTCCTGTAGGGTAAGCTGTTCTGTATCACAGACATTATAGATTATAGACAGTGTGATGTAGGGTAAGTTGGTCTGTATCACAGATATTATAGATAGTGTCCTGTAGGGTAAGCTGTTCTGTATCACAGACATTATAGATAGTGTGCTGTAGGGTAAGTTGGTCTGTATCACAGACATTATAGTTTTAGCTAATCCTGTATCACAGACATTATAGATAATGTTCTGTAGAGTAAGCTGTTTTGTATCACAGACATTATAGATAGTGTGCTGTAGGGTAAGTTGGTCTGTATCACAGACATTATAGTGTTAGCTAATCCTGTAACACAGACAGTATAGATAATGTTCTGTAGGGTAAGCTGTTTTGTATCACAGACATTATAGATAGTGTGCTGTAGGATAAGCTGTTGTGTATCACAGACATTATAGATAGTGTTCTGTAGTGTAAACTGTTCTGTATCACAGACATTATACACAGTGTGCTGTAGGGTAAGTTGGTCTGTATCACAGACATTATAATGTTAGCTAATCCTGTATTACAGACAGTATAGATAGTGTGCTGTAGGGTAAGCTGTTCTGTATCACAGACATTATAGATAGTGTTCTGTAGTGTAAACTGTTTTGTATCACAGACATTATAGACAGTGTAATGTAGGGTAAGTTGGTCTGTATCACAGACATTATAGTTTTAGCTAATACTGTATCAAAGACATTATAGATAATGTTCTGTAGGGTTAGCTGTTTTGTATCACAGACATTATAGACAGTGTGCTGTAGGGTAAGTTGGTCTGTATCACAGGCATTATAGTGTTAGCTAATCCTGTATCACAGACATTATAGATAATGTTCTGTAGGGTAAGCTGTTCTGTATCACAGACCTTATAGACATTGTGCTGTAGGGTAAGTTGGTCTGTATCACAGACATTATAGTCTTAGCCAATCCTGTATCACAGACATTATAGATAATGTTCTGTAGGGTAAGCTGTTTTGTATCACAGACATTATATACAGTGTGCTGTAGGGTAAGTTGGTCTGTATCACTAATGTTCTGTAGGGTAAGCTGTTCTGTATCACAGACCTTATAGACAGTGTGCTGTAGGGTAAGTTGGTCTGTATCACAAACATTATAGTGTTAGCTAATCCTGTATCACAGACATTATAGATAATGTTCTGTAGGGTAAGCTGTTTTGTATCACAGACATTATATACAGTGTGCTGTAGGGTAAGTTGGTCTGTATCACAAACATTATAGTGTTAGCTAATCCTGTATCACAGACATTATAGATAATGTTCTGTAGGGTAAGCTGTTTTGTATCACAGACATTATATACAGTGTGCTGTAGGGTAAGTTGGTCTGTATCACTAATGTTCTGTAGGGTAAGCTGTTCTGTATCACAGACATTATAGATAGTGTTCTCTAGTGTAAACTGTTCTGTATCACAGACATTATAGACAGTGTGATGTAGGGTAAGTTGGTCTGTATCACAGGCATTATAGTGTTAGCTTATCCTGTATCACAGACATTATAGATAATGTTCTGTAGGGTAAGCTGTTTTGTATCACAGACATTATAGATAGTGTTCTGTAGGGTAAGCTGTTCTGTATCACAGACATTATAGATAGTGTTCTGTAGTGTAAACTGTTCTGTATCACAGACATTATACACAGTGTGCTGTAGGGTAAGTTGGTCTGTATCACAGGCATTATAGTGTTAGCTAATCCTGTATCACAGACATTATAGATAATGTTCTGTAGGGTAAGCTGTTCTGTATCACAGACATTATAGACAGTGTGCTGTAGGGTAAGTTGGTCTGTATCACAGACATTATAGTGTTAGCTAATCCTGTATCACAGGCATTATAGTGTAAGCTAATCCTGTATCACAGACATTATAGACAGTGTGCTGTAGGGTAAGTTGGTCTGTATCACAGACATTATAGTGTTAGCTAATCCTGTATCACAGGCATTATAGTGTTAGCTGGTCCGGTATCCCAGATAGTATAGTGTTAGCTGTTCCTATATTACTGACATTATAGACAGTGTCAGCTGGTTGGTACTGTATCACAAATATTATGTTTAGTGCTAGCTAATTATTATCACATTAAAGAAAGTTTTAGCTTTACCAGTCAACGACATTAGTTAATTTTTTATCACATTATAGAAGGTTATAACTTTTCCTATGACTGACTTTATAGATAGTGTTAGATGGTCATGCATTAGATAATATCGATATTGATAGTTTGTCATATGCAGTATTACGTAAATGTATTTGTGGTATATTGTTATTTTATAGGTCTTAGTGTTACACATTTGTATGCATTATACACAAAGATTGTTGTTCTTTTCTAAAGGCCATCGAGACATTTTTCAATCCTGAAGAAGCTCCTGATTTGAGGACGTTTTTTTCTCAGCATCCGCAGTACTCACGTTTCGGCAGTTTACTGGAGGTATGTAATACCCTACATTATATATCCCACACTTCCTCTCTGGTTCTGTACATTGACTTTTGATGTGGATACATGGTCTCCGATAAGTATATCTCGCCATTTTTGTTTGTGATTTTGTAAAGTTTTAAAAAATTGCGTACTTATTTTCATTATCTATTGGCTAGGATTATTAATTACTATTTGGGGTATTCCACTATCGACATTTCCTGTTGAACGTCTTTATATTAACTATTTGGATATTTGCATAATTAAAAATACGAAGGCGTTATCTAGATATATCTATTTATTAGTCGCAGATAATGTTCTGATGTAACGATTTCAGCGAAATTTATAATATAGTTGTGTCGTAGTGTTAAGTAAAAAAGTCTTATTTATATATTTTCCGTTCCAATACTTTGTTCCTACAGCACATATCTTAATATGTCCAAGTTCCCGTAAAGTATCACAAGTTAGGTAGTGACATGTCATTGTATTAAATATTTCCAGAAGAAACAGTTAATGGACGATCTGATGGATATGAATGCCTACACGCTGTTTGTCCCTAACAACGACTTATTGAACAAATATTACAACGACGAAATCGTGGTAAGTATGCATTTAACAAAACAGAAAAATCTCTACATACAAAAGTTGTGGTAAATCATCCACTAAATAAATAGCAAACAAACGCTACAGCCACAAATCGAGGTAAATATATGTTTGACGTAATTGAAAACCTCTATAACTACAACATACTGTCAGTATACATTAAACATAATTGAAAGTCTCTACAGCCACCAGTTGTGGTAAAGTATTTATTCCGTCTTTGCGTATTGCAGAGTTATCTTCTCTTGGGAGCAGGTATTGATTGTTACGTCACTTGTTTGTGAGAGTAACGTCATCAATTTTTGAGAAAACGACGTAATTTTATCACACAAACGAATGACGTAACCATCAATACCTGCTCCAAAGAGAAGATAACTCTGCAATACGCAAAGACGGAATTGAATACAATAACAAACACACGTTATAGCCAGAATCGTGGTAAATATATGTTTGACATAACTGAAACCTCTACAGCAGCAACCTATTGCAAGAACGCATTGAAAACAATTAAAAACCTGTACAGCTACAAGTTGTAATAAATTATCCACTGAAAATAATGAACAAACGCCACAGCCACAAATCGTGCTAAGTATATGCTTGACATAATTAAAACCTCTACAACAAAGATCGGCTTGTCATTCCCTAGGGGGAGATAGCCTAGTGCCGATTAGCACGTGTTCAATTGTGACGTCCTTGAAATGTGTCACCAGTAATTGTGACGTCATCAAAAGTGAATGACGATATCTATTACCCATATGTGTTTTTGTTTACAAACATGACAGACTACTTTCGATGGAGTTGTGACTGAAAAAATAAGATGGGAGAAAAAGAATCATCCCCTTCCTTGAGGGTGTAACAGATAAATCTCAAACCATCGGGGTGATGTTTTGGTCGGCAGAGCCTAGGGTTAGACAACCAAAAAACATCACCCCTCGGGTTAGAGATTTATCTGTCACAACCTCAAGGTAGGAGCAGTTTTTGTTAATCTAAGCCATGACTGTTGACGTGTTATTCAGTATGAACCACTAATACTGCTTGCACCAACAACCAATGACGAGTTGCGCAAGATCGTCATAAACTCTCAATCAAAGTCCTGTGGGCTGGACTCGCTCCCAGCAGTTATAATGAAGCAATGCTAATTCGGTAATGTCTTAAAGCACTGCTTAATTTGATTACCACTGGTAAAATAAGCCTGGAATTGGCAAAGAGGAGTTAAAACAATATCACCCAGTATGAAATATACCGTTCCATCAAAATATTAGAGATGGTTGTGTCCCAGCGTCAAGACGTTCATATCTATACAAACTGTACAACATAGCTAACAACAAGGATAACAAGAACATGATTGTGTTTGTCATTCTAGACTTGTCCATTAAATTTGACTTCATACCTTTTCAAACGTGTAGATTGTTTTCATGGTGTGATTTCGTTTGTTTGGGTTCGGTAGTCTACATGCACCAAAGTGCAGATACCAGCTGTAGATCATCACGTTTATCAATGTTAAAAAATCATTGTTTTGTTATAATTATCCTAAATTACTTCTTTTAATTCAGTTTCGATGGTAATATGGTGATTGTTATATTTTTTCTCGCACGATCTTTGTTACAACACGTTTTGAGTATATTTCTGCGAGTTGGGTTCGATGTAAGATGCAAGTTCATACTCTTTTGCAGAGTCGAGCATTTCTTCGTTTCTATCTGATGTCGAACATCCGCCTTACAGAATCGTTTGATGATGGGGAAAGATTGGATACCGTGCTTGGGTCTGATCACCAAATCAGCTTCCACGTGAGAGGTGACTTGGTAAGTAGACAAGTGAACCTGATCTTTTCAACTAAGTAAACGTTTGTTTGACGTACAGAGTTACCGGGATCTAAACACATTTTATAAAAGAAAATCATTACGATCAAACATTTTGCCAATACTTATCGGTTCGATTATATTGTACAAATTCACTTGGTATTGACAGGTAAAATAAAGGGAAGTAAAAACAGTATACCGGGACTTTTTTGCCCAATCAAAAGTCTGTCCTTCACAAGTACAATCCATTTGTGCCGAGTGTTTTCATCGCCCTTCCTGTGAAATTACTATGAATGGTATATTGGATGCTGATATTCGCTACCATGTTAAAATTCGCCCTCGTTACAAAAGTTGAAAAGGCTAATTGAAACCGCTGCGGGAATTTCATTGTTTATGTAATATACCGCATTATCATCATGCAAAGGACAAAGTAGTCCTAGTCGGTACGACCAGTCATTACAAGGAATCAAATGACACTATCATCAAAGGAAACACATGGTCGAACAAGAGTTATTTGCAATTTCTAATTGTTACTTTACAGGTGTTTGTTAACGGAGTATTGATTACTGAGCCTGATGTGTTAACTATGGGAGGCGTGGTTCATGGGATAAACGGTCTGCTCATTCCAACCCTTCACCGATGTGACATCATCAACACCACTATCGCATACGTAAGTGTTATCTGAGGGGAGTGGTTATGAGCAGGACAAACGTTCTCCTAGTACCCTTTCTGTACATATATTGGCATCATCAACAACAATATCGCATACGTAAGTGTTAACTTAGAGGCGTGGCTAGTGGGATAGAAGTACATTGACATCATCAACACCACATTTTCATAGAAGTGTTAACTTAGGGGCGTGGTTAGCGGGATAAACGTTCTACAAGTACATGTACCCTTTCTGTAATACATTACCATCATCAACAACACTTCTTTCATAGTAAGTATCAACTTACGGAGCGTGTCCAGTTGACAAGTGATCTGCAATTAATCACTGCACATCTATGACATTATCAATGCCATTGCTGCCTACACAACTGTTAATTTAGGAGCGTGATTCACTTGATTGGGTAAATGATCCGCTGATATAATCAACACACCTTATTTATAGTAAGTGTTTGCCTACGTGGCGTGTCCATGGGAAAAGCAGTATGCATATATCTTACCCTCCACAGACGTTAGTCATCTACCTCGCTAACTCACTACCTCACAAGTTCGTGGTATATTAAGAGAGGTGCTCCACTAGTTAAACGTATGTTCAGACCCATCGTAGATCGGTGCAAGTGCTAACAAGGAGTGTGGTCCTTGGAATAAAATCTGTGCATTGCCTTCCCTATAGATGTGATTAACACCACTATCTTATACATAAGTGTTAACTAGGGGGCGTGGTCCGTTGAATAAACAAATGTTCATATACCCACCCTCCATTGATTCGATCAACACCACTGCATTATACGTAAGTGTTAACTAGGGCGTGGTCCGTGGAATAAACAGCTGTCCATATACCCCCTCTATTGAATTACCAATGCCACTACATTATACGTACATGTAAGTGTTAACTAGGGGGCATGGTCCGTGGAATAAACAGCTGCCCATATACCCTCTATTTATTCGATCAATGCCACTTTATTATACGTAAGTGTTCACTAGGGGGCGTGGTCCTTTGAATAAACGTCTGTTCATACCCACCATCTAGCATTATTATTAATATCACACATCGTCAATCATGTTGCATCACACAAATATCATTGCAAACCAGTCACGCAACGACGAAATCGGACATTCAAATTAAACATAACCAACAAAAATAATCAGGATACACAAGAATTAACGAAGATATATATGTACATCACACATCCAAACTTATCATCAAATGGTGGCAGTGTCCCACTGCCTCAAAGTCAAGTCATGGTAGCATAGTTGTCTACTATTTGTTGTGTACAGGGGGAGTGTCAGACATGTGGGCGTGGCGCGCTTCGCTGTCCCGAGGGCTACGAAAAGGCAACAAATGGTCAGCTAATAAACAGATGCTTTTATCTGGGCAGGTTCGGACGTAACTATGGCTGTCAACGTGTCTGTGAGAAAACTGAATTCGTAAGTTTTAATTTGATGCTGTCGATTTTACGTATATTGCTATACTTTTCTCAGTTTTTTCACTGTAGTGTGGCCTGTGCGTTGATAAAAGTTGGGACTGTTTAAAAGGTGGCGGTTGCCAAAACAAGTAGAAGGTGAGTTCTCAGAACATGTTCGTTTTCTTCGACTTGATTTTTTTTTAGCGATCAACGGATGCACTGAAGCAAATGAAAAAAGACCAGTGTGTTCTAAAATGCTAAAATTCCACTCCAAAAAAAAGCATCTTTATTAAAGTACAGTGTTTGCAAAGTGACGGGAGCCGGCAATTGGGACGTTCAGTCGACGACGACTTTGAATTTACTCCAAAAACAGGTTCGAACCGATGTTGCGGTTTGGACACTCCATAACTTAAGACTGTGTATGGTTGTGACATTGGATGCAAAGTTGTAAAATTGTACGGTGAGGACTGCATATTCGCACATAGCGATTGAGCGGTTGGGAAATGTTGTTTGTCTATATAATAGTAGATACAAAGAAAAACATTTTACCAATGGAGCTTCACTACTGTTACGAATGTAGCTTTAGGAATAAAAATCCTCCGAATATGAATACTCGGAACTAATGTTTTGAACCTGTTTTTGGAGTATATTCAAACTTGTCATCGACTGAACGTCCTAATTACCAGCTCCCGTCACATTGCAAACACTGTACTTTAATAAAGATACTTTTCTGGAGTGGAAATTTAGCATTTTGCTTCAGTGCATCCGTTGGTAGCTTAAAAGTTTACAAGTAGAAAATAACGAACATGTTCTGAGAACTCACCGTCTAATTGTTTAGCAGCCGCCATCTTTTAAACAGATGGCGGCTAAAACTGTTTTCAACGTACAGGCTACACTACAGTGCTTTTTGTATTCAGTAATCACAAGTTTTGTCCTTTAATTCCATGGACATCAATATTTTTATAAAATATACAAATGTAACTCTAAATGGTATATTAATTTAAACGTTTATTTACTCAGAGAAAATGTTCTTCCATAACCAATATTGTAAATGTGTCAGGTTTAAATATTGAATAAATAATGAGAACCAAACGTCTCTAAAACTACCTACTACCCGGAGTTATACATTGTCAGCTAATTGCATAATGTTGATTTATGTCTTACAGACTAAACGATGTTGTGCTAATTATTATAGTTCTAATTGTCTCGGTAAGTATGCATGCTAAAGAACAAAACATATCTAAATAAATTATGTGGGTTCGGATAATTAAAGTACAATATTTTTCATTTAAAAATAACAATTTTATTGAAATATTATGAAAGCTTTGGTGAACCTTGTCAACAAGAGGTGCATATTTAAATAGAAAAATAGAAATATTGCAATCAGGAGAAAAACAGACAGATTTAGAATTTATTTTTTGCAAAGGTGACAACGAATCTCTCCATCACTTTTTTACAAAAGAAGGCATAAACTATACAGATGGATGTATTAATTACCTCACGTAATAATGCAGCATGTTATATTTTTCGAAGAATGACATGAGCTTATACGTTGGGTTATCACTTGATGTGTAATTATAGGGAGTAAGCGTTAACGTGTGTTTTATCACATTGTTGGAATTGGTGAAATATTACGATGTTGTAGCGTAATGAAATATCGTGATGTTGTAGTTTTGTGAAATATCGTGATCTAATTTTGCAGAATATCGTGAAGTGATTTTGTAGAATATCGTGATGTTGTTATTTTTGAAGAATATCGTGATGTTGTAATTTTATAGAATATCGTGCTGTTGTAATTTTATAGAATATCGTGCTGTTGTAATTTATATTGTAACTTAGTAGAATATCGTGATGTAATTTTGTAGAATATCGTGATGTTATAATTTTGTAGAATATCGTGATATTATAATTTATGTTGTAACTTAGTAGAATATCGTGCTGTTGTAATTTATGTTGTAACTTAGTAGAATATCGGGATGTTGTAATTAAGTAGAATATCGGGATGTTGTAGTTTATGTTGTAACTTAGTAGAATATCGTGATGTAATTTTGTAGAATATCGTGATGTTATAATTTTGTAGAATATCGTGATATTATAATTTATGTTGTAACTTAGTAGAATATCGTGTTGTTGTAATTTATGTTGTAACTTATTAGAATATCGGGATGTTGTAATTAAGTAGAATATCGGGATGTTGTAATTTATGTTGTAACTTAGTAGAATATCGTGATGTAATTTAGTAGAATATCGTGATATTATAATTTATGTTGTAACTTAGTAGAATATCGTGCTGTTGTAATTTATGTTGTAACTTAGTAGAATATCGGGATGTTGTGATTAAGTAGAATATCGGGATGTTGTAATTTATGTTGTAACTTAGTAGAATATCGGGATTTGGTAATTTAGTAGAATATCGAGATGTTGAAATTAAGTAGAATATCGGGATGTTGTAATTTAGTAGAATATCGGGACGTTGTAATTCAATAGAATATTGGGATGTTGTTATTTAGCAGAATATCGAGATGTTGTTATGTAACAGGATATCATGAGATTGTTAGTTAATATCTGACGTCTGTGTTTAGTAGAATATCGGGATGTTGTTATTTAGTAGAATATCGGGATGTTGTTATTTAGTAGAATATCGGGATGTTGTTATTTAGTAGAATATCGGGATTTGGTAATTTAGTAGAATATCGGGATTTGGTCATTTAGTAGAATATCGGGATGTTGTAATTCAGTAGAATATCGGGATGTTGTAACTTAGTAGAATATCGGGATGTTGTTATTTAGTAGAATATCAGGAGATTGTTAGTTATGATCTGACGTCTGTGTATAGTAGAATACCCTAATGTTCTAAATAATGCATTCATACATTTTTATTGAATTCAAAACTTTTAAAAATGAACAATCTATGATTGTATCGTAAAATGACATAATACTGTAATTTTCCAATGGATGAATGTGTTTTAAGATGTCATGATGGTGAAAGCTAAGACTCATATCATATCCTTAAGCTGTCAATTACAATTTGATATGTGTTTTGGTGGATGCCCCGGTGCTTGATGGCTGTGTTTATCAGAATATGTTTAAAAGTACCAATAAATATCTGTGTTTTTTGACTGCCATGATCATGTGACTTAACATTGTATCGTCTTGTTAAAATGCCTTAATGTTGTAAACGATTACTTGAAGTACGTGTTTAGCAGAATGCCGTTATTTTGCGAAAAACGACTTGGTGTGCGTGTTAAGTAGGAATGTTGTAAATTATGAAATAATGTATCCGTGTTATAGAATGTCCCGGAGGTCCGGACTTTCCATGTAACCACAATGGCGACTGTTACGACGGTATTGACGGTAATGGTACCTGCTTGTGTTACCCTGGGTACAGTGGAAACGCCTGTCAGCTCTGTGAGGTTAACGACACTGTCCAAGCGTGTGGTTCGTACTCCATATTGTCATAGGATAATATCACTATGTCATGTTTGCTTAATTTGTATACAATTTTTGTTATTTTTTAATAGAGCCCCGGTGACCTTTTTTTACAATGTTGGTTACAAATATGATATTTTGTCAATGTCAATCCATAGAGTTGTACATGTTACTACCATATCTGAATTATTTGAAAATAAGACTTCTAGTTCCTCTTATCACCTAGCAAAATAAATGTGTCATAATACTTCGCTCATTTGTTCATTTTCCCTTAACGTGAGTAAATAACAAAAAATAGAAATCTTAACGCATGATGACGTCACCCTAAACTCTTCTTTTGACAAAAATGTAAAGCTTGTCGGTATTGACACACTGAAACATTAAAATGTGCATTGGTCCTATTCATATATGTTGTTGGTATTCCTGAATATCTCTGCTGCACAGAGAATCTGACGTAACTAGTATTTCATATGTTTTACTTCACAATCAATTCCCATGCCATATCTATACATATCTATACATGCGACACTCGGACTGTACGCCTATTCTCATTTAGTCCTATGTGTGATTGTTATTCGTTGTAAATTTATTTATCACACACTTATTGATAAGTACCAGGCAGCATGATCGTATTCCTCCGGCATACGTCACTGTGTATATGAGACGTATGTTGTGATTTTATGTAACACGTGTCTACAGGTCGGAGTTGTAGCTTTAACCACGGTGGATGTAGTCAGAATGCGGACTGCAACGACTTCTCGGGAACCACCACTTGTACATGTAAGTCGGGTTACATTGGAGACGGCAGTACCTGTGACGAGGTTTGTTTTGTCGACAATGGAGGATGTCATCATAATGCCACCTGTCAGTTTCTGGTAAGAAGTCCAAACAGGCAGTAACAACATTTTGTAGTTATAAAAAGGCTCAAAAATATTAGCGAGTCAGCGAGGTCTAGTTTGGCTGCAAAGGGTTTTTGTTAGACTACTAAGTTTGCTTATTTATTATGCACAAATCACATCTTTCTTTACGTTTCTTCAACCAAACTTAATTTCTTAATACTTCAGATATCAATATGATCATCAGTAACATGTGTTTCTTATTCCTGTAAAATGTTAACAATCAATATAGTAATACATGTTAACATGTACCACGGAGGAAGAAATTCAAAGTAAAAGGACCTCATTGTAAAACCGTTTTGTTCCATCGCTCAAGAATTTAAGTAATCCTAGCGTCGGAAGGTGCTAATCAAACTTCGGATCAACACTTACTTTCATCTAAAATCATGAATAGCCTGAAGTAGATAAATAGGAGCAAATGTGGCATAAAAGTTGTTCTTCAAGTCAATGAACCATGAAATGTTATTTCCTGATTCGAGTCTGATATTAGCGCTGTTTCATTTCTGACCAGTTTAAATATTGTTCACATAGATTTGTATGTAAGGCCAAATACATGTGTGAATTTCATACTGTCGTGTCCATATATACCTGTTGTAGTAGTTTTGGGTCCTGATCAAGGTACATATCATACAACGTCGTCCCGATCTAAAACAAATGTCACTCTCATTTGCAGACAACTACCAGATATCTCAATTGCACATGCGCAGAAGGTATGGATGGGGACGGCCGTACTTGTTATTACGTGAGTAAAGTGTGTAGATGTAGGTACTATATTACAACAGGCTTGCTGCATCGGAATACTGAGTTTGGGAGTTGACTGAACGTTGAATCTTTTTAGACATTCCTACATATTGAATAGATAATTATATATTATTTACATTAATATGAGAGTATGCCTGAGTCAAACTATAACATCCACGTCATTATGTGCCTTGGCTCCGGTAACCATGACGTCTGATTGATCCATGTCCCACTGCAGACAAAACACTAGAGGTACACTAGAGGTTACCTCTCTATATAACTTTGCTTCGGACATAACGTATATAACGATATGACGAGTGTTTTGGCTAAGGTACCATCATTGACTTGTTAGCTGTGTAGGTTAGAACACCAATATAATAATCGGAGGACCAGGGTTCGAATCAAGGTCTGCTAGCTTTAGATGCTTTTAAATCGGAACACTGGAATTATTTTATAGGAGTACCACAGGTCATGCCTTTCTTTTCAGTCATGATGTATCAAAGTTACAGTCAAAACGATAAAAAAAGTTCCCAATGAACAGTTTTTTATAACGGTACTGAATGTGTTACATTTAGAACGTTTTCAACATAAAAATGACTAAATGCATTTATCCGGGTTTTTTGGGGGTCAAACATGTGTTTCTAAAAATAAAACCCCTGATTTTGTGAAGTGTGAACATTCTTAAAGTCAACAGTTTTTTTAAATTCTGCGACAATAAGATTTAATCATTCAAATGTGATGAAAATATCAAAAACCAGTATACTTGGTTTACGATTCGGTGAACTATCCTGTCAAATACAAAACATAAATCATTATTTTTTCAACTTTTCAAACATTTTGTATATTTTGCTTTCTAGCAGCCACCTGAAAAAAATCCTTTAAAGAGTAAAAGCCAGGTAAAGTATAGTTTATAAGTTTGCACGTGTTATGCTTATATGTATATGTAACATGTTTAAAGTTTGTTACAAATGCAATACTGTCAGCGTATCAATACGAACGGCGTGAATGGTATGAACGATATTTAACGGCGTGAAGGTTTTGTTTCGATATTTCACGATTTGAAAGTTTTGTTTCGATATTTTACGCTGTGATGGTTTGAATAGATATTTAACGCCGTGAAAGTTTTGAAAGATACTTAACGCCGTGAAGGTTTAAAAAGATATTTAACGTCTTGAAGGTTTCGATACATATTACAGACGGACATTGCTGTTTTTGTTTTACTATTTATATTTATATTACAAACGGGCATTCATGTTGATTTGACTATTTATACCTTTCAATGCAGACAGGTATGATTGATGGTGTATAACTTTTTATACTTTCTATTACAGACGGGTATGTTTGTTGGCGTAACAGTTGCTGTGCTTGCTGTTATGCTTCTAATCAGCGTGGCCTTGTTCTTCTACCTGAAGATGAAACGAGATTCCTCTGGGTTCCTTGAGGTTTGGAGTAAAGTGAGACGGGTAGGTTGCCTTGTTATTAATATCAGTTTATCCTCATGTGCATTCTCAAATATTTATATTTCACAAATATATTGGTTACAGTACAGTTCCCAACTATTTGATTTCAAGTCTGGAGATGTTTTGCTCATATGTATATTTATATAAATGTATTCTGTGAAAATCCTGAATAATGAATTCGCAAATAAACATCACATATGTCGTTACTGACGAAATGATCCGTATATCAGCAGCGTTATACCGTTGCTTTGTGTTACACAACACACTGAACAACACATGTGGACTTATTGTTTTTATTATCTCACAGCCCATTTTGTTACATTTATCTTCTACTGGTAAATACTTTCTGTATCCTTTGTTGTTTCAGAATTCTGACAGTAGCTGTGCCCAGCTTCACACCAACTCTGATGACGAAACCAATGTAGCACAACCTCTTTCCCCAGCTGACGTCAACTTTGACAACCCACTCTATAACGTCAGCGACAACTTCTAAAGTATGTTGGTTGTACAAGACTTGCTGAATACTGGATAGAAATAATCCGAATGGAAGTGATATACACCAGTATGTGTGTTGCCTTATCGTATAGAGGCCGGTGCCTTTCAGGCAATGCAAACTTGTTGAACTTTCAAATTTGTTTGTGTGCATCAAATTGTGGAAATATTGTACCTGCAGCTGTTTACTGATAATCCTTCATTTTCCTATACATAAGCAACATAAAATCAGTGCTGGGAATGCGACTTCAACATTTGAAATGTGTTGCTTCCCTGTCGGTACGTTGTCGTGATAAACATTACAAACGCCTTATTTTCCATAATTATAGAATAATTGATCATTCCTTTAATCACTACTTATATATACATATATCGTCAGATTAAGATAACATATCTTTTGAAATCCTTTTTTACTTTTGTAATAAACAGAAAATACGAATGTTTTATTGTATATTTGTTGTTTATATCCATATCATCTAAAGACTTTCCGCTCTCTTATCACCAAGACTTCAATTAACAGCATCGTTACTAATTATATAATCGTGACCGATCCCCAAACTATCCGTGCGTTCGCGAATAATACGAAAATCAGATGTCATGGCTAAGTGTCATTAAACACGAACATACCAAAGTTGATCGAAATGAAATTTATCGAAATTCAATTACATCGAAATGTGTGCCAATCAGAGGCCAAGCCACGACTGTTTTATTTCTATTTCAATCCAGTTTAACAAAACTGATTGGTCGACTTTTTTATATTGTTCGATTTCAATCAAATTCGAAATCTTCTGCGACTTCCATTTTAACATCATGGTTTTATCCTTTGTCTTCTTGTTTTGTTGGAAGTGTGTTTTTTTATTTCTATTCTTTGATTAATTTATTTTAGATACTCTTCAAATTTATTATCACACGTAGTTTAAATAACATGTCTTGAAAACACAAGGACAAAAACTGAACGCTATGACGATGTAAAAACTAATGTATCGTCAACACATCAGGATGAAATCTAAACGCTATGACGATATACAAACTAACGCATCGTAAATACATCAGGACAAAATCTAATAACAATGGCGTTGAAAAAATGCATCGTCAACACCTCAGGACAAAATTTAAACGCATAACGATGTAAAAACTAACGTATCGTCAACACATCAGGACAAAATCTTCACTCAGCGACGATGTAAAAACGAACACATTCTCAACAGTTCAGGACAAAATTTGGACTCGGCATCAATGTAAAAGAACAAAAAACATTGTCACCACGTCAGGACAAAAGTTGAGCTCAGCGACTATGTAAAAATAAAAACACGATCTGCGTAAACGTTAAACCACCACAAAACGAAAGATAAAGTGTCCCACGATAATGGAACGAAAATCACGTGTTTAGGAGGAGTAAACGTTTCCAGCAAAAACAGTACAGTAGCATTTGCCATACTATCATCATGATAAATGACGGAAAGAAAATTGTTGTTCAGTAGAAAGTCTTTAAGGTGCGACCAGACAGATAACATTATCATGATTCAGTGAACTATAAATATATATACATTCGTAAGTATAATTCAGTTCGATAAAAAAAATAGTTACATGTAACCATAAACCAAAAAATCAAAAAAGTAAAATCGAAAAAAATGTTGAGAATTTCGTGTTCGTTTGTAAATCTAAGATAATTTATTTACATTTAAACAATTTATTGACACGTTTGAAGATACTCGGTTAGTTTTGTACATATTGTTTGCAATTTCATTCAGTTTCGGAGTCAAAACCAATATTTTTCCACAAAACTTACCATTGCTTGCGTCAAAAAATATCGAAATGTCAGTTGTCAGAAGTCTGATATGTTGGGGGACTTCCGGTACTACACAAATAGTTACTTGATCATGTAATGAACAGATGTCTCCATACATGTTCTGTCATTAATAACAGTCATTAATTAACTCATTTTTTTCTGAGATCTACTGTAGACTGGGTACAGATACTACAGTGAAACATAACATTCTAAGAAATATAATACAATGTAAAGCAGATAAGCTACATCAACTTACAAAAACTCAAAAGGTATCGCCCTTTGGTTAAAAGATGTGTAAATGCCTGTCGTAGATATATGTTACGTCTGGCATAAGTTTTCGTCACGTGCACCTACCCTTTACGCTTTCTCACAGGATAATGAAATCGCTTCCACACATCATATCTCACTAAAAAAGTCTTCTTTCCTACTTTTTTAATCAATCTTTCACAATATTTTAAATATAATTCTAGTTACAAATAAATGCAAACCAAATCTTAAATAACAATCATTTTCTATCCATATAGAAAGTGTTTGTCATTTGTGTCGTAATGATAACAGATAACATGTGTAACCTTACGCACGAAAGAAGTACATAAAGGCAGAATATAGTGTTTATTATTTTATTAACACTAATATCACATTAAATCTGTAGCATTTCGTGTATAGTTAGACTTGTTAATATTCATGGCTAATATCATTCCTTCGTTAATATATCATTCATAAATGAACACAAATGCGTTTTATTTAAACCTAAGTTTACATATTCTTTGCAACTGGAGTGGTGCATTTTTTTTGGGGGGGGACCAGTTGTTCTAGAAGTTACACGAGTCTTAATCACACAATGCCGTCATCAATAAAGTGGACTCTCGAGAAGAAAAGTATAGCTAAAATGTCAAAAGGATGTATCTTTCAATATATAATACTTATATCAACTGAGACTTAAACCAATCATTTGCTGTTAAGACATACTACTTAGTAAAGACAATAACAATGACGATATTGACGTAGTCATGATAGTCGTCATAAAGTTGTCATTACGTCAGATATCAAAGTCTAATTGTGTTGTCAGAGGAGTTTATATGTTGTCCTTGTGCACTAACAGGTGGGACAGCATGGTCCAAATTTGTGTTCGTAAGGTTTGTAAACAAAGAGTTTTCCTTAGACACTGACGTCGGCATGATAACGTTATTCCGTATACAATCCTCATAGAGTGGAGGGGGTATTGTAACGTTATTGTCTGCTGTTTGGGAGTTGGTGGTAGACGTTCTGACTGTCTGAATGTAGGAGCTGGATGTCTCAACTGTATTATCAGTATTTGTAGTCAGAGTCAGTCCTTGGAACGGTGTACGTGGTATAAATCCACCTGTAAATAACACATTGTTTTAAACATTAAATTTCCATCAAAACAAGTAAAAATAGATTAAAAGATTAAAAAGATTGATTCAGAATTTAATATGTGAACATCTGTCCTGTTGTTATTTAATAACATCTGGCATTTGATGTCTGTTGTGATTACCTGTGATATATCGGAGTATCAACGGAACCTAATAGCATGTACATGAAGGTTTACATGGCGGACAGACAAGCAGAATCGTGTCGTAAGACAAAATTTATACGAGATTAAATTACTGCAACTATAACGTCTGGAAATAAGGACACGTTAAGTTCATCCATACTTTTATTCATGTCATGAATCAAACTTTTAACCAAATTCATATTCATTATCTATTACGAGTTATCGAAAATTAGGTCTCAAAGTCTGAACACTATGAGTGAAACGATGAAACCAAAGGATCGATCACGGTACAAATTTGTAACAATATGAATTTAAGAGTTTTGTAAATGTATGAACAACATGATTAGGGAGCTCTCGCAGTTGATAAAAGTTGACTGCGAACACATTAATATGTAGTACACCGCTTTATGAGAATCCATTGAGGGAGAGAGGTCAGCGTGATGTGTTTGTGGATTACTGAACTGACGTGAGAGAGAGCTAAGAGTGTAAGTTGTTTGTGGATTACTGAACTGGTCGGAGCAGGGAGAGTTGTCTGTGTGAGATGTTTGTGGATTACTGTACTGACCTGAGGAGGAGATGTCTGTGCGAGATGTTTGTGGATTACTGTACTGCCGTGAGAGGGGAGATGTCTGTGTGAAACGTTTATGGATTACTCTATTGACATGAGAGAGAGCTAAGAGTGTAAGTTGTTTGTGGATTACTGAACTGGTCGGAGCAGGGAGAGTTGTCTGTGTGAGATGTTTGTGGATTACTGAACTGGTCGGAGCAGGGAGAGTTGTCTGTGTGAGATGTTTGTGGATTACTGTACTGACCTGAGGAGGAGATGTATGTATGAAGTGTTTGTGGATTACTGTACTGACCTGAGGAGATATCTGCGCGAGATGTTTGTGGATTACTGTACTGACCTGAGGAGGAGATATCTGCGCGAGATGTTTGCGGATAACTCTACAGACCTGAGGGAGAGATGTCTGTGTGAGATGTTTGTGGATTACTGAACTGGTCTGTGCAGGGAGAGTTGTCTGTGTGAGATGTTTGTGGATTACTGTACTGACGTGAGAGGGGAGATGTCTCTGTGAGATGTTTGTGGATTACTGTACTAACCTGAGGAAGAGATGTCTGTGTGAGATGTTTGTGGATTACTGTACTGACCTGAGGGAGAGATGTCTGTGTGAAATGTTTGTAGAGTACTCTACTGACCTGAGGAGGAGATGTCTGTGCGAGATGTTTGTGGAGTATTGTACTGACCTGAGGGAGAGATGTATGTATGAAGTGTTTGTGGATTACTGTACTGACCTGAGGAGGAGATGTCTGCGCGAGATGTTTGCGGATAACTCTACTGACCTGAAGGAGAGATGTCTGTGTGAGATGTTTGTGGATTACTGTACTGACCTGAGGAGGAGATGTCTGCGCGAGATGTTTGCGGGTAACTCTACTGACCTGAAGGAGAGATGTCTGTGTTAGATGTTTGTGGATTACTGTACTGCCCTGAGGAGGAGATGTCTGCGTGAGATGTTTGTGGATTACTGTACTGACCTGAGGAGGATATGTCTGTGTGAGATGTTTGTGGATCACTGTACTAACCTGAGGAAGAGATGTCTGTGTGAGATGTTTGTGGATTACTGTACTGACCTGAGGGAGAGATGTCTGTGTGAAATGTTTGTGGAGTACTCTACTGACCTGAGGAGGAGATGTCTGTGCGAGATGTTTGTGGAGTATTGTACTGACCTGAGGGAGAGATGTATGTATGAAGTGTTTGTGGATTACTGTACTGACCTGAGGAGGAGATGTCTGCGCGAGATGTTTGCGGATAATTCTACTGACCTGAGGGAGAGATGTCTGTGTGAGATGTTTGTGGATTACTGTACTGACCCGAGGGAGATATGTCTGTGTGAAGTGTTTGTGGAGTACTGTACTGACCTCAGGAGGAGATGTCTGTGTGAGATGTTTGTGGATTACTGTACTGACCCGAGGGAGATATGTCTGTGTGAAGTGTTTGTGGAGTACTCTACTGACACGAGGAGGATATGTCTGTGTGAGATGTTTGTGGATTACTGTACTGACCCGAGGGAGAGATGTCTGTGTGAAGTGTTTGTGGAGTACTCTACTGACCTGAGGAGGATATGTCTGTGTGAGATGTTTGTGGATTACTCTACTAACCTGAGGGAGAGATGTCTGTGTGAAATGTTTGTCGAGTACTGTACTGGCCTGAGGAGGATATGTCTGTGTGAGATGTTTGTGGATTACTCTCCTGACCTGAGGGAGAGATGTCTGTGTGAAATGTTTGTCGAGTACTGTACTGGCCTGAGGGGGAGATGTCTGTGTTAGATATGTGTGGATTACTGTACTGACGTGAGGGAGAGCTGAGAGTGTGATATGTACGTGGATTACTGGACTGACCGGATGGGGTGATGTCTGTTTGAGATGTTGTTGGATTACTGTACAAACCTGTGATAGCCCTAAGAGCCTGCGCTTGTGGATGTGCGGCTGATCGGGGTGGCTGTCTCCATTTAACAATGACACATACGCCAAAAAACACGAACATGATTGCTGCGGCGATGCTGCCGAATACAATAGCGTTGATTGATGGGTAAGCATCGCTATAATGGAAAAACCAACAACGGATGTATTAAGGTGGCTTAATAATCTTAATTACGATAAAGTTTATGGATAAAATACGTCACATGTATGTTACTGTTCGAACGATATGAAAACAACTCGAGATACATTATGTCTTCACAGTGCTGTCACTGGATACACAACAGCTTAACAATAATCCTATAAAATATTAGAAAATTTGTTTATAACGTCGTTACGTACAACGTAAGTTTACATTATCGTCACTAGATTCACTATACAGTATATATCAGTGAACCACTCATCATTACATACCCTGTAGATGGGGGTTCGCAACAAATACGATATCCAAACGAACCACAGCAATGTAAGGGGCTTGGGCAGTAGATATAATATTTGACCTGTTCCTCACGCTGTGTATCAATGTCGTTTGTATAGTAACCTAGCGAGCAGTCTTCGTTGTGTAGAAGGCTATCTAAAATAACAGAAAAACAATAAAAGTTAAACTGTTTGAGTATAGTTAAAGAATAGTTCAGCCATTCACATATCAAACAGTTAACAGGATGAATATACACCTAGCAGAGCATAATACTGCCAAACCAAATCAAACCAAGTATAAAATCCGAACTATACATGGAAACAAAAAGAAATTCAAAATGCCAAAACAAAATGACTAAACGATCTAAGCTACAATCGTTATGTGTTAAATGTTTGCAGAAACTGAAGTCCTCAGTTCGGAAAACATTAAAAGTAGCTTCATGGATGGTAGACTCTGCTGGTTCATTTGTAAGTCCCAAAAAGCAATATGCATAACTAAGGACCATGGGAAACCTTCATGTAAAATTTGAGAACGATTCTTCGTTATTTTCTGAGAAATGGCGCTAACAAACTTTAACTCTCCCTGATGTTTGCTGTAACCTTGATAGCCACTGTAATCTCTGTTGAGTAGTGGCACGCTTCACTCATCATTTAATTTGAAATTTGCCAGTAACCCCTCTTGCTTCTTGAATTCATGACACAAAAAGGGTGTAAGCATCTCCCCTTTTGTATCAAAGGTAGTTTAGACGAACTTGATTTCTACCTGTTTGTCCCCTAGCTTCACCAATAAGTCTTAAAAGGACGAAACAACTGTATGCTGCAGTATAAATCATTTTTTGGTATACTGTATCAACCTGTGTGTGTCTTACCTTCATGTTTTTACTTTAACAAGGTATACTAAAGTAAAGGTATCAGCGTTATTTTATAAGCGTTTGCGGTATTTTTAACGGTATGAGGATAAATATGCAGTCATTGGCTTATTCTATAATTAAGATATCAATGTAATTTTGTAAAATATTGTTAACGCTTTATCAACGGTATTTAAGTTGTGAAATATTGGTGTAAAATTGTTTTCAAAGTTTACCTTATATGTTTCTTATAATGCTGTTTGCCTTAATGAAGCCATGCTGACTGCAGTTGTGATGAGCCACGTAATTGAATTAATTAATGATGCTATTTCGAGTTCAGGGATTCCCCAGCTCATCAATGGTACCGATATATTCACTATCGTTGATCAATAGTAACAGACATCGTTTCTTGTTTTGACAAGAGGTCAAGATCTGGATGTGCGCCTCATAAAGGTCATAAAACGCTTACTCTTCAGGAACACATGGATTAGTTAATTATTCTCGTGTGTTTCTTCGGTTCCCTTTGCTGTTTCTTTTGTTACGATTCTGAGTTACGGTGGGGGGTTTTTTGTATAAGAGGTCTCGATAACAAAAGGTGCGGCGGTCAAACTTTGCTCAAATGATCGCTTCTAAAATTATTTTGTATCAGGAGATCATCTGTGTAAATAGATAAAGTTTGTACAACTCTGCATCCTTACTATTTTCAATTAAACTGGAATGTCTCTTGTTATAATTTGTCTGTATTATAATATAATATTTAATCCCCCACGTGTATGAATGGTGCATCCTGCAATAGTATCTAATACATGTTGTTGTTTCCTATGTAGGGTGGTGTATGACTCGAGCTATTTCGCAATATTCAGTTCATATTTACGTGTGGAACGGGTATAAAACGTAAAAAGAGGCAGTGATCCGGACAACGGTATTCATGGACCTGTATTGACGAGAACAAGTAGGTCAGATCAAACAAAACATTTCACAACAATTCGTGTAGCCGACAGTAGGAATACGGTCAAGCCTCACATGTAGCTGAACTTTGGACATTTTTCTACGATCATCATGTGCCCACAAGTGAAAATATGACCAGTGTGTGTCATTATCGGGTTCATCACAAACTAAGAATTGTATATTTGTCATGTATTCATAAGTAAAGATAAGGTTTGGCCTCACTATAACCAGGTAAATAATGCCGTATGGTAGTACCACAACACAGACATGTTTTTAATGTTTACATTATATGAATGAGGTTGAAGGTATACTCTTGGTAAATAATTGATAGATATTGATTCTTTACCGCCAACCAAAACAGTAGCAGATTAGAAAGAAGTCTTTAATATGATTTAATAGGATATTTGTGGACGCAGGCATTGCTGCCTCTATATCCACATCAACATAATTTGTGTTACAGAGTGAAACAAGAAAGTTACAAGAATTGATGCATGCGATCAAGTTACTGTATAAGATCAATTTACATTTTGAAGAATTGTTTCATTAAGACGATTCTAGTGTTATAAAAACTGCATCGGTTCCATTTTAGTATGAAACATACTCTGTGTGCCAAACGTACATAACCAGGATGCCTGATACAGATATGTGAATGTTGTTCATAGGTTGAGTTTAGAGAGTGTTTACCTGTTGTTTACCTGTTGTTGGTATACATGGTATTTTGCCTTCTGTAAACACGTGGTAGACTTACCTGTTGTTGTGGTAGCGATGATACACGGCCATATACAGGCTACCAGTGAAACAGACAGCGGCATCTTCATACCGAATCTGACACAACCTATAGATATTGTACTGAGTGTGATGTGTTCAAATACACAATACTTTTAACACTGTCACACACATATTTCGTAACCAGTTCGTTCTCTATTATGCATGACGAATTTGAAGGGGATACCTGGTTGTATCATATCAATCTATACGAGGACACGCTGTGTGTACAAATATACCGGGTGTTTCCAAATAGGTAATTACCTACACAATGATAACTGTCACGTGACTCGGCTATATATAGCACAGTCCGTCGTTCGCAGCCATGCATGAAGACGGAACAACGCCATGGAGTATCACCTTTACCTATAGGGTTTTCTCTCCATGACAAGCCAACCTTTATAACATACAACATTTATCCAGGGAGCAATGTCGATCATAGAAGTAAACAAATATATGTATTATATCATATTAATATAATTATATCCTGTACTCATTTTCTACATAAACTATCTGATTTATAAGATTTATAAAATATCATACTTGATATCTTGTATCTTTATAAGATATGTCTAATAAATAAATATATTTATGACATCATATAAAGGATATTGTATGAAAATATCTTTTAAAATACATAAATTATATCTTGAAAAATAAATAAAAACAATATCATTTATATACTGAACAAAAAAAGAAACGCACCATTAAATTAAATGTAGAAGAAAAGTCTGTGTGACGTTACTCGTGTCATCAGTAGTTACTCAAAGTGGGATACCCGCGAAAAACAAAATGACACTTCAGTACCTGGTGTGGGCACCTTTTGCACGAATCCCTGCACGGATTCTCCTATGCATTGAATTCATGAGAACATTTATTCACCTTAAGGGAATGTTGTTCCATTCTTGTGTTAATGCTGCGATCAACTTGGCGCGGCTAGTTGTGGGGTTTGACGTTTCCTAATACGCCTGTCCAGCTCATCCCACAGATGCTCAATGGGAGACATGTCGGGGCTATTATGGGGGCCATTCCAGAGGCTGAACGTTGTTTGCCGTGAGAAAATCACGACAGACTCTGGCAACATGCGGTCGAGCATTGTCTTGCTGGAAAATAAGGTTATGACGTCTGAGATGTGGAAGGACATCAGGTTGGAGGATCTGGTCTCTGTATCGAACGGCATTGAGGTTTTGATCCAGGACCACGGAGGGGGATTTTACTCCATGGGAGATGCCTCCCCAAACCATTACAGAAGCCCCACCGAATCTATCGCGTTCAACCACGCATGCGTCGGCAAAACGCTCACCGCGTCTGCGATATAACCTTTTTCTTCCGTCTGAGCGATACAGATAGAATCTAGACTCGTCAGTGAACATCACACGCCTCCATCGACGCATCCAAAACCTATTCGGGCCATGTCTGCGCATCCAGTCAAGACACACTTGCCGCCTCCGTGGTGTCAGAGGTGGCCCGACATAAGGTCGGTGCGCAATGATTCTCTCGGCACGCAAGCGGTTCCTGGCAGTTTGAGGACTAATGGGTCTGCCATGAGTACCTAAAGTATGCAACGCAGTCTCTACAGCAGTCTTGAATCTGTTGCGCAAGTGCGACAATCGAATCGCCCTGTCTTGTCGTGCGGTCGTTACACGCGGACGACCGCTCCTGGGACGATCGGAAACTAACCCAGTAGCACGGAAACGTGTACAGAGACAGTTAATTGTACCTGGGCCAACACCAAACTGCCGTGCGACAGCAGTTTGGCTATGACCATCCATCAACATCGCAATTGTTCTACCCCTCTGAATTTGCGTAAAGCGTGGCATCTCAGTCAATGGCGAAATCAAAATGCCAACGTGGAAAATTAATGTGGCTGAACTTAGAGTATCCGTTGAGATTATTTGTTTGAAAAACTCCGGCTTGGCTTGATCACGCTGCGTGATTTGGACTAAAGAAGCTCATAAAGTCACACAATGACATCGCCACGCTTGGCTGATTTTAGGGTAGATTGTTGAGAAGGGAGATCGTTCTTGATGTAATACCTAACCAACTATTCCATTATTTCCTTACAGCTAAAGTGTACTGCAGGGGGGCTTTAAAATCCTATATAATTGGATTTAAAAATAATAATTAATAATTAGAGGTACTTATATACCGCTTTCTCACAACCTAGTTCGTAGGTCGTCTCAAAGTGGTTTACAAATTATTATCTGTGGTTATAAGACCCTTGCAACCAGCCAATATCTTTCTCAACTCCCTTGGGAGCATACAGCCGGTGCTGCCATTTCGGCGCTCACAGCTAACATTCAACAATTCTAGCACTGCCCAAGCACGTACTCATTTTCAGCTGAGTAGACTGAAATGGGGATAGTACGTTGTTTTTCGTGTCTATACTGGCGATTAGAACATGAAATTTGGTTCAAACTCTCGACCTATCGGTCTCAAGTTCAAACCAAATTTCATGTTCTAATCGCCAGTATAGACACGATAAAAAACAACGTACTATCCCCTTATTCGCTCACGACGAGCTTCTCTAAATGTTTATAGATTTTTTTTTATGTCGTGTTGTGTAGAATTACCATATAGCAAATATTATAATTGTGTGTAGCACAAAGGTAGTAATGTTTATTGCAAATACAGATACTCATTATCATGATATCTCTATTTTTGTACTTGTATCGATGATATGGTACATATTTTTATGTAACTTTTCGCCTTGACTATATTATAACTCATTATAACTTGTGTCTTTTCTTACCACTGAGTGTCTTGTAACGTTATAATAATGATACATGTATATGCTACCATTTAAGCATCATCTTGTTGCGCAAGTGACACTTTTTTATGTTCAGAGTTAACTACCCTGTAGCGTTAGATTTTACAGAAACAACAACTTTCTAGTTAACAAGTTTGTTTAGAACGTAATAAGAGGATACTTTATTTGGTTCATGATTCTTTCTCAAGTTATCTATTGCCTTCCGGCTCACCTACCTGAACTCCTTTACAATATACTGACTTGGAGGCACCAGTTACGTGCATTATGTGACGGTTTTAGCACTTTCCTGTTATTTAGAAAGACCGGTAACAAATTGGTGTGTTCATTTTACAGAACATCATACAGTGATAGAAATGTGAAATGATGCATTTTCAAAAGCAAAATTTCAGTTACTGTTTTTACTTACTTTAGACTCTGTCTTAGACCACTCTATGCTGTATGTTGCATGGAACACAAACAACTAACGTACTAATTTTTCTTTATTAAACTTTATTTGTTTTTCATATTTTTCGCTATGAACAATTAAAACAATACACTCTAAAAACATGATGTCATGGGGATAATGAAGAAGATGACGGTGACGACTACGATGATGAGGAGGAGGAGGAGGAGGAGGAGGAGGAGGAGGAGGAGNACTAAAGCTAATGTAATTGATGGAGTCGATTCCTCGAAACTTCATTTGATTTCCATTTTTGCACCTGTTAACGAACGCATTTGGCATTATCTCATACTTGAGCAATTTTATTATTCTGACCCCAAGAAAAGCTGAAGAGATTTTAATAATTGGAGTGTATCCCAATTAACTGAATACAATGAAACAGAATCAACTCCAACACATTTTTCTGACTTAACAATCAGCAGCATGTCTTATGGACATGTCATGTAAATACGAGGTCCATTCAAAATATTCTTGTTACCAAGCACGTCACGTACGAAGGGCAATACAAAAAATAGCACCTTGACAGACTGTAAAAGCATTTACAGAACAATGCACGTGCAAAATGTCGACATCATTAGACAAGAGTTGGTCAAGTTGTTCATTATTGAATTGTATGCACTCGTGACTAGTGGCTTCTTTATAATGCTTAAATAATTGATGTTCAGTATATATCATTGTAGTTCAACATCAATGTCAATATGTTAGTTTAGGTCAAAGTGGCATAACACAGGCAATATTAGCTTTAAAGAGCTATCATAACTGATTATACATATTACACAATGGCAAGGCATACCATAGCACAGATGCTGAATAACATGCAATAGTTATTTTACTCTGAGAGTGTAGCACTATTGTGTATTGTTATGATACAAAATTAGCTTTATATAAAACATATAAGCATAGTACATATGACAGATAGTTCAAGCCTACCAACATGCACCTATAAAGTGTCCATTCCAGAAAGGATGCTGACTGTTTTATGTTACTATAACAAAACCGGTAATACACTGATATTAGTGTCCGATCTACAAGTATATATAGCAAAATGATAACCAACAACGTTGTCTTGGTGATCAGATAATCACATGTCACGATAATACAATTGATTATATAATAGGATTCGATATCGATAATAACCCGATTCCATATTATGGAGAACCATGGTATGAAGAACAGCTTTAGATTAGGCATTGTTTTTCCTCATTCTTAGGCAGAAATGTTGTTTTGTCGAAGTATAAAACACAAATATGCATGTGATCTATTAGGAAGTATTCAATTTCTTTGTGGGATATCAACACTATTATCCTCACCAGTTTGTGTTGTGTTTCCCCGGCTGAAGACGTGAGAGTACTTGGATTTGACAAAATTACTAACACGACAGTTGTTGATGATGATTCAAAAGTCTTCCGGAATTTCTGGTCTTGATCTTTTTTGTTCTTTTGGAAGGATCTCCGCTTTAAGCTTTTTTGTTTATATTTTCCCGATTTCGACAACATAACACAATTTGTTTACCCTTCGGTACTCCCTTGTTTCTCTTCTAATCAGCTACTTCAAGATCCTGTATATAGGACAGACATGGGTAATCGCCGAGGTCAGGCGTCGACTCCAGGCCCATGATTGATAACGTAGGTTAATCATATTGATAACATCATACCCACTCTGAACTAGCTGGCGAATCGATGTGTTCGCATTGTTCTGTATTAGATGAAATATTTTGTTCCGAACTTGAGTAAGCATTGTTTATACACATGCTAACAGTATGATAATCGGGCGGCGGCTGTATACAGTTCTTTTCTATACATTCCTCGTAAGACGGTGGCAGTGCATCAAATGTGTCCCTTGTTTCGCTTCCGGATGGTGTGGACGTCTGGATTGTAGAACTGACACCGGAGGTCTGGATCTGGTTTGGCAAAGACGTCAATGTTGGTCCATCAACTACAGATAGCACAATGTCCATAATATATATAACTATCAAAACATGCATCAAATGTTTAAAAACAAACTTGTTATTTAGAAAGTCAGTTAACAGCAACCATATCAGTAGATTAATATGGGGTATCAGGTGATATAAAATGATACATCAGTTAAAAGAAAAGGTACAACGAAACATGGCAAATATGATTATGGGCTTAGAAGTTGACATTAAGACTTTCCAATATTCCATAGACATATATGGCAGGAAACTCGCATGAGTGGACTCTTGCAAACATACAATGATGCAAGGTAAAGCTATATACACTTGCATGCAAACATGATCAGTTACTATACTTCCCTTCCCACTGTGTATGTTTGATTCAAACTTATGTGTAAATAAACTGCACATGTATCAACAACTACAATGGTGGTCACTAAACAAACTACTACAATACGAGCAATGTATAAAAGATACTTAAAGATATATAAGCATTTGTCAGGTGACGACAATGATGAATTAGTTATCAAATAACTCGGGATGCAATAACAACCCAATACGTAGAGTACAGAAAAGAAGTGACAAGGACATCAAGAAGCTTACAGACGACCGGAGTAAAGAAAATAAAGTTAACCGATTGTACTGACCTGAGTTGACGTTTGTCTGAACGGTATAAGGCTGGTCGGTGTCCGAGTTTGGCAGCTGACGTCGTGCCATTTTACCACATATACATGCACATAAAACGATGAACATTATGCATGCGGCGATACTACCAAACATCAGACCTATGGTTGGCGGGTCCTCGTCTTTATCACTACAACACACATAGAACGACTTTAAATACGATTCAGAATATGTGTTTCATATGTCAATATATTCTAAAGGGGATTCTAAAATGCAATGAAAAACCTTTATTTTAATCCATTCACTATCCTTAATATTCACTATTTTTACAGATGGGAGTATCCACCTTGAGTTATATTTAAACAAAAACTAGAAATATTATAAACAGTTAGTTTGTGGTTGAAACCAAACTAAAAGCTGTGCTTCAAAAATAATATATTTAAGGAACATATTATAAAATTCAGCCAAAATAAATTTAAATATTTTTAGTTAAAAAGAGCTCGTTTCATTTGGACGGGGTCCTGTTATCAGAGTCCCATATTTATATAAGTTCGATTTCTCAGAAATGTAAATGGTACAAACACAGCGAAGCCAAGCTACCATACTTACGCATATTCAGATTTCACGCAGCAACTCCTGTCCATAAAATCACCACAGCAATAGTCTTCGCTGCTACACGACAAATAAGACTCTTCATACTCTCCGTTATTTTCATAATATCCAAACCTGCAGTGTTCGTCAACGCTGTCGTCATCTGAATGGAAAAAAATGTTCATTAACATCTTACATGGTAAGGCCAGACGTTGAATAATCTCCATGCTGCTCATTTAATGATGAGTAGTGTTATACCAAGATACATAATATTATTTATAATTTTCAGACATAACGAAATCAATATTATTTGGGCCGAATATTTTTTTTGTTCCTACTTTGCTCTATTTATATCCTTTTTTCAATGTAGATACATATATTTCAATTTCTGTTTATCTTTGTTAAGTGACATTAAGCCGAATTGTCTCTGATAACATAATGCGTCAATGATCAGCAGACAAAGGGCACATCACTCGAAGTTACATTAACTTGTACACTACAATTGACTTCTGATAAACATGCGGTGGGGACTCAAGCATGAATAAATTAATTAGAGTGCGTCCCTGCTTCATGTGATTTATCTGGTCCTGATGTCATACCATGAATACAGCGTTACATAGTTAAATAACAAATATTATTTTATATTAAACTTCCTTCAATACCAAAGTACGGGCCTCGTTCAGTTCATTCTCTCACAGAATGGACAGTTTGAGGCATTTCTCCTACTGAAAACATTTAATGCTTAAAACCCCTTTGTATCAATAGTGGATACCTTATTGTGTTAGAACAGACAGCTACTGAACAGTGTGCCGGTAATGAAGTCAACAGTGACCAGGCATTGGTGTGTTTGCAGCAGGAGCTATGGTCATTCGTGCATGAATGCATATTGTTAACTTATTGGACAGGTACAGGTCGGGTTACTATATTTGGAAATGCACATGCTTTTCAAGTCCATAAAATCCAGATATAGTGAATCCTGGGTATTTACTAGTCAGACCAAATGGGTCATTTGAAGTGAGAACATATGATTCTCAGGAGACGACGATATCACTTTCAACATCATTTTGGAAATCTTTTAATGTAAATACATGTTAATTAACAAGCCACATGTTGAACAGAGAACAAAGGTGACAGTTTACTAAAATGACACTTGAATCGATGAATCATGATTTTTTTTTTAGAAACATTTCTAATGCAGCGGAAAAATCAATTAATACCTCAAATATCACCTTAACCAACAGTGGCGGCAGTTCAATTTTGTCAGGAAATGTATATTGGATTAATTCTAAATCCAATCCTGTTGGATTTTTCCTGAAACAAAATTTGTGTTTTCTATATCATCAATATTCATATTTTGAAAAGATTATTGGATTACTGTATTTCTTCTTCAAGTAAGTTTTACAGCATCCTGTTGGATTAATTTAAAACTTTTCTCCTCAATAAAACTCAACAGTGATAGGGACAACTGGATTATTTCTGGATCAAATATAACCATCGTGTTTCAATGGATTATCTTTTATAGTTGATTTTTATTATATTTAAATGTACATATATATATAGTAAAGCCATCTGTTGTTAAAAAATTGTGAGTTTTTACTCAAAATTAATTTTTGTTGCCTATAACTGTCCATTATTAGGCCAGTAGCTGTCCATTATTAAACATAATAATGGACAGCTACGGCTTAATAATGGACAGTTTCAGGTACTTTAATGTACATTCTACTATACATGTATAATGTACGATGAGAACAAAGGATGATGTCATAACTGTGTTTTAATGATTGATAATATACCATATACCCATCATCACTATATTGCTTTTAGTATATTTTCGTAGATAATACATTATTGATTGATACTATACCATATATTCATCGTCACTATACTATAGATACTATTCCAATCACTGACACTTTACTTGTTATTTCTTTTCACTGTATTGTACCATATATCAAAACTATCTTGTATTGACACTATTAAATGGAATTATCTATTCAATAACACTACTACTGTAATACATAAAATGTGTGTTCACTATGTTATATGATATTATATGTATATAAAGCAGTACTTCTGTCAAAAATACATTAATCTTTTACGCTGATAAACACCGTCCCGCGACTGAAAGGTCAGTTGAGAATATTTGAGAAGAACTGGGCAGGACGAACTCGGTCACGTGTAGCTGAATACATCGGCAGGTAAATTTCAGATAAAAAAACCGAAATGTGTGCGTCATCAAAATGTTTGTCAATAGGGGAATGTGTACCTGTGAAGGATTCATGTGATATGCACAACATGGTTTGTTAAAAGTACTTGAATAGTTAGGCGATAGTCTAGCGAGGTCAGCTAGAGGACCAAGGTGAGAGGAAAACCAGGAGAGTTTGCATAGAGATAGGGGCCAAGGAAAGAAAACAGCTAGATAATTTGTAGATTATGTAAATCCGTTTTGATGTTGTGACCGGTTCTCTATAATCGGAGTGAATAAAACGGTACGACCCCTTGGCATGTATGAACAGATAACGAGTTTCTGTATGGCCATGTATATAATTCCAGAATTAATAACTTTCATATTGTTGCCATAACGAAGAACATCTAAAGTTTAAAATGTGTCGTTGGGTTATTATCATATGATTTATGTGAGTATATTTATGCATGATTTTTAATAAAAAAAATGATAGTATGTGATTTATGTGAATATACTTATACGTGGTTTTTTATGAAAAATAATAATTAGAATGTGATTTATGAAAATGTATTGATAAGTTCATGACTGGAAGTAAATATTTGGATAGGTATACGATTTCGGTAAATATATATATATACATATAATTAATGTTCGCATGATCCTAAATACAGGATTTGTGTAAAAAGTAAATCAGTGACACAGTTATGTAAACACGTTGCTTAGAACATTGTAGGGGATTAATGCATTTACTTATTATATGTAAATTTATGAATACTTTACAAGAACACGATTTATGTAAATATGTTGATAAGTATTCTTTGTATACAATACTATATGATATAGTTTTAAATAAACAGTAGTGTAAATGCACTTAATAGATACATTGTTTGTACTTATGCATTTATTTTTAGACCGTTTTAAATTACGCAACAGAAATAACAATTGCAGTACTTATATATAAATGCAAATGACGGAGATCCCATAGAGGACAAACTGTTTCAAATTACGTACAACTAAAACGATACTTAGAAAGTATATTTCAACAGGTTCATTTATGTTTTGAGATATACTTTCTTCAGCAGATGGTAAAATTCGAAAACGAAACTTCACTTATTTTAAAAAGTTATGTTTGTTGCATTAATTGTCTTCATATATCAGTGTGTGTGATGTCAATGTTCCAAAAGACAATAGTAAGGTCAACTGTTTAGCTGTATATTTTACCAGTTATATAATACGTCATCTTGATTTTCACTAATTGTCTAGGATTGCTTCTACGTTAAGGAAACCAAATACAAACTATTAAGACCAAGCTGTTCAGCAGTGATTTTTACGAGGTCTTGAGTTGATATTATACCACTACAAAATGTTACCTGATTTGTACTTGTAGTGGAGTTTATTACTCTTAATGCCTACACAAATACACACGTACATACAGAAACAGTTAACAGTCTTACCTGCTGTAGTCTGTCCTGTAAAGCTGTAAAGGAGTACGGCCAGTGGTATCATCATATCGTCTTGTTATATCACACCACAATCAATGAAACAGTTCGAAATACCACACAATATAAACAGAGACACATTAGCGGTATTTCGTAAATCAAAAGTTAATTCTCATTGAAGCATGACGGCTGTGGGTTAACATATAGTAGATAGAGATAGCGTAGCGATGATGAATCGTCTACAGCCTTGCACGGCAATTCCTTACCTATTACCTGGAACAGCTACACTCCCTAAAGGCGTTTACAAGTGACTGGAATCATAATGCTGACATCACCAAGTCGGATTGGGGAAAGCCTTACACTTCAGTCTTCTTAGTAACTTAATTATATCTTGTAAACATACAAAAGTGATAGACATTTTAATATTGACGTCAACAATTAAAAGTTTGATCTATATACACCAGTATTGTTCACTATACATATGGTATAGGATAGGATATCTTTACTATTAATGCCATATACATGTCCTTATATCAAATCTAATCTTTGTATTTGTTTATATTTTAAATGCTCATCAATTACATCGGATACCAGTACCATGTAAACGGGATAAACACTGATATTTCTCAGGGGTGTTGCTCGCTGCAATAATACATTATTATATTGAATGTGAAGGTCCACATGTTAATATAACCACGTTGCATTGTCTGGTGTAATCTATTATGTATTTCTGGTGAAGTTTACAACTTCTGGTCGGAGTTTTATTTGTGTTTTGTGAGCAACGATATTCTTATATGATATGATATAGATGTAGTTATTATGTAATGAAGCGGCGAATCATAGATTGCCAAGCATCACACAGCATAACATAAATATTAAATAGCTCTCCGCAAAACCTCTCAGATTCACCAGAAAACGAAATCAATTTCAGCATCTTCGATGAGGTCACATTGTTTTTTTGTAATGTAGGCACAAGATCTACAATATTTAATCATCATTTATTTATATATTATCCTACATGAATATATTTGCTTACAAAACACAAATAAACTGATATAGTATATAACATATTGCACAGTTATTAAATACATGCAGAGTGTTTTTGGACACGAGCCTTAGGCCACATACCATTTTGTACGTCAATTTGGCTTAGACCTTGGGAACTATGTAATAATTAACAGACTTGCATTAATCTCAAATTATAAATCTTTTTACAAAGTTGTCATTGAAACCTTTCACAGCAAGTCACCTTTTTGCTCTACACTTCTCTTTTTATTGTTCGATTTTCTTTGTATTATAGGATATTAAAAACTCCACATGCTGTAAACTATAGCATGATCAAAAAGAAACAGGAACATTTGGACCTCAGCCACTTGTTTCAAAGTGCAATGCATAACAGAGACTTGTTCAGATTACATCAGACGACAACTGGTGTGACCATGACTTGTTCTATAAAATAAAAATATTGTCAACGAGAAATCTATTGTCGCCAATGAATAATGATTTTGTGTTCAATATCTAATTTTAATTCTTTTGCAAACGCTGTATTAAGTAGGTATTGGAATACTTGAAATTCATCATGAGGTTGGTTAAAAGAAGTTAAGTTTGAATGATATTCATATATATGTTATTGGCTCTTGAAATGTGTGTTATCTTTCTGAATTATTATTATAAATGGCTCATTTATTTATTTATTATGAGAAATTTGCTAATGACATATATTTAGTACTGTTTTATTGTTTTGTGTAGTAATAATTCAAAACGATGCACATTTGTAAATAATACACATACGATTTAATCGATTTGGAGATATATGTAACACACATTCTGCGACGTTTTGTTTATGAATTGGTTAACCTTCGAACGAACTTAGGTATCATCTTCTTCGGGACGTCATGGATGGTGCTATATCTCTACATTTAAAGAATGACCACATAACCTTTTTATTTTGTTTCTCTACTTGATAAGGCCCCTTATTCTGCTTTTCATTTTGTCCTTTTGTTCAGTGACAATCACATCTGTTGAGCCACGAATGTCTGATGAAGGTAAATGAGTACATATCGTTCCAGCCATTGAAACGTGACACATAAACATTTCACTGGTTGAGCAATATATGAACATGTACACAATCTGTATTTACCTAACCGGGGGGAAATCTTTCGAAAGAAGGGCTGTACTTTTGTCTCGAACATGTTACATAATTATGCTTATTCATTAACTTAACTAGTTTCCATATACATTGTTGCATTTAGGTAATATGAGGAGGTTGTGTACAAAATACAGCAATATCCAATTCATCTGAATCCGATTCAGTTGTATAGCAAATTTAATTATATAACTAGAGTAGTTGGGTCGTTTGGCATTAGTTTTTGCTTAATATGTGTAAAAAATAGTAGTTCGTTCCAGATATATCTATTAATAACTCACTGAATGCTCTTCTAATCCAGACATATTGTTAGTTCGATTTGCATGAAGCGTTTCGATAAACAAGCAAAAAACAAAAAAAAGGAAGCTGACATTTTTATTTAATTCTTAGTATGCATCACATGTGATTCCTTTCCAAATAAAATGACAAAGTTCCTAGATGATGACAAATAGCAATGGTACCCGTACACTTCGCAATAGTAACATACTCATTCCTGAATATTGCATGAAGATTGATTAAAAATAGAAATCAGAAATGAAGTCGCTTGTGCGATCTCAAATATTGTTTGTTATCTATAGCAACAGTGATCTATTTACTTTGCCGTAGTTCCATAAAATGCGAATGCCGTAAGGCCCGCTTTCATGTAAAGAGTGGATATAACGCCACACCAATGTTTCTGCCTTCTAAAGTCAGAACGCAGTTACTGACGTCAAACAGGTCCCTAAAAAAGGTTTGTCCAATCAGATCATGAAACTTGTTATCCAAACTCATATCCAATAGGCTTCATATTCAAACAAATTCCATGACAACATTTCCATAAAATTCCGAACTATCCTGTCTAAATGTGATATTAGATCGAATGCAAAATCCTATACTGATTTTAACCTAACAAAATCAAAACAATTTCAATTTAGACTGATGCTGCAATGCATTTTTAACCCTGGACTGGAATAATGTCTTCCATGATCATTGAATCCCATCCACGGCTCTTCAGGACTTAAATCATCCCACAGTATGCAGTTACAATTGGTCATTCCTTCGACATGACATATGTATATGATATTTTCTGTGTCTTACTTAAACATTACAGACAACATGTTTCACGACAAATATTGTATTCTATAGAATTCAGCATGCTCCGCTGATAGCTGTCCTCGTTTTACCTTTAAGCGATTTGTGGACACTTTTATTTTGCGGTAGATTGCGAAGGATTCACCATTGTCAGTAAAGGGATAATAAATTAAGCTCTTATAAAGACAATGTTTCCTCTTGGTTATCTATGCTGTACATCATTCAATGATATCCCCTTCTCGAACCAGAGTCTGGTCATCCTCCATGCTCCATTGAATCCATTTTAGCTCGTTGTCTCAGCAGCAACATCCACGACAATGGTTTGGTGACAGAAGCAGTATCTTCTACACCAGGACATGTGATCATCTATCATTGGCATGTCAGTAGATTGCTTCTGGATAATCCTTGTTTTCAAACTAAGGATACCCATGTTGGTTAAGGTTTGTTGGAGATGGTGCAAGCATATTTTACATTTCACTATGACTCTGCTTGAATTCGCATCGCAATTGTCGTGGAATATAAAATCTTAAATTATGAACCCCTCTGTCCTTTAAAACGTACCTATCTCCTTCGCTGTTACAGTAGCGTTTTCTATTCTAAGACATCACTGCGGTGCTTACAGAGGCACTGGCCCATGACATAGACAAAAGTCTGTCCGTATCCACCGTTTCCAGTGCTCTCAAGGATTCTCTTTGGATTCGTATCACATATATTTGTTTATATCATATTGAAAATCCGGGTTCAATATTTATTCAATTATAAGTTACTAATACTAATTCGAAATCAACGTAAACGCGTACTGTGATGCTAGGATAAGTAAATATTTTAGAAATGTTTCACACTTAATAGGATGGCGTTAACTTGTCAACATGGTCAAGCTCTATTGTTTTTACTAACAAAGGTTATCTACATGTAGTATTCACGTGTAATGCAGCCAACGAAAGTGCTTGTCGTGATAACTTGTAATGAGTTACAATATTCTTCTTAACTATTAAACAAATGTATGTGTGTCATAAAAACGATACTGAAGTACGATGCTTACGTTGATAGTTATACACTAGTTAAATGGTGACTCTATTGTTGACAACTGCCTACGACAAGTCACGTCCTTTTGCTGTTTTACCTTGCATTTCCCCGCAGGCTATACAATGTATAACACTTGGCTGTGTGTAATTACACAGAACATGACGTAGAGTGACTATGTTAATCACCAACACTCTATAAATATAGCCTAAAGGGATCCCCATACAGTTTGTATGTAAAATCAACGACGTTATATATAGCCTTGGGGTCCCCGTGACATTTTGGTTTTAAGTTAAGACGACATGACATGTTATTGAAAGTTAAAACTTAAACTTGGTTCTCACGTAAACACAAGTGATCGACAGGGTGACACATTGTAAGCTATTAGCTAACTTAGTCTAAAGGACAAACAAAACGTATGTAGTGATCGATGCATTATCCATCGTTCATCTAATAACAATTTCTTCAAACGACCTCTTCCAATGAGCTGCTGATTGAAACTTCATAAAACTTAACTGGAAATATCCTTTGGTGGTGGAAATTTAATTTACATCATACAAATAAAGAGATTGACCATCCAGTGGTTATTTCTCCTGAAACTCTCTGACGGATTTCAATCATGTTTGATCGGAAGTATACGCAGATTGTGATGGATAAAAAATGTAAAGAAGTGTTTGCGTAGGAGGAGGGGTGCTGACCCTCCGGGGGCTGAGAAAAGGAAACTAAAATCAGATATTTAGCCATGCCATTGATTAAAGTGACGTATCATTTAGATCTATATGATAAGTGTTTACAATATATGGTTGGAAGTATAATCAGGTAGTGATTATTAAATGTGCAAACGGTGGGGCTGAACGCATGGGGACTGTTGCAGAGGCTTAAAAGGATGATAACACGGTAATGGTGGAGATGCCAATAGCATAACCATATACCTGCTTGCTTGGCATGAAAAGATGAAGAAAAGCACGCTACAAATATTGCCTCCAGGGTCCGGCCCAATTCTTCAGGACTTAGTCATTTGATCCTATATTTATCATGGTAACGTTT